CCGGCTGCCTCTGTGCCTTTGTCATTTCTCCTGCCTGGAATGGTCTTTGCCCCTTACCTGCCGCCTGCAAAGTCTCCCTCACCCACTTCGTCCCAGTTCAGGCCTTCCTTGACCCCCTAAACTCAGTTACTTCCTCCCCACAGTGTCAGCGCCATTCATGGCACTGTCATAGCCCTTTTTATCCTGCAGTGAATACTTCCCTATGCCTGTCACCCTCACTAGCTCTCTGTGTACCTCCCATGTAGCTCCATGTATGTTAACGTTTCCCTATGCCTATCACCCCCAGGTGCTATGGCCAGCCCATGGTGATTCAGTGAGTGTCTGCTGAAGGACTGAATCATTAAACTTTTTCAGTGTCTGTCCTGATGTGAACTATTAAGGTGAATGATGAAGATTACGCTGCAAGAGGAACTGATAAAGTGCAACAGAGCACAGCAACTGTGCTAGTCATCTGCCATTCCTCCCCCTGGAAATTTCCCCAGGACCACAGTCATCAACCTACAGAATATTAACACCAAGGGGACTTTCAAGATCTGGTCACCTGACCAAATACCAGAGAGGGTAACTGCTTTGCCCAAGGTCACACTGCTGGTCAGGGGCAGGGCTGGGACTAGAGTCCGACTAGCTCTGGAAAAAGTCTGGGCAGATGGCTACCTCATCCCATGAACCTCCTCCCTTCCTACCCATCCTAAGTCCCTAAAGGACGTCCCTGATGCCCTAACATGGGCTCACTCGCTCTTAAAGCACTTGCTGGGACTTTGGCAGGGTAGAATTACCAAAATCCTGTAGATTGGAGGAGGGGATCCAATTGTCATCATTTTAGAGATTGGCAAACTGAGGCTGCTAGCTAATGGCAGAGGGCAAGATTTGATATTAAGTACTGTGTTCTGTAGAAAGACCTGAAAAGCCCAAACTCCCACATATGCAGAGTCACTATTTACAATAATCATGACTGCTGACGTCCTAATTTCAGGGAAATCCCCTCACTCCCACCGGTTCCTCCTGATACAGAGCCTCTCTCCATTTCGCACAGGGTGTCTGACTTAGGAAACAACCTGACCACCCACCCTCCTAAGACAGCCAGGCCTACTAGATAGATTACCTCGGAGTCACACACTTTAATGGGGAAATCACCTTCTTTGTGCCGGGCACTTGACATGTCACTGCTCACATCAGCCCTGAGGGTGGTACTACAGTCTGCGATGGGGAAACTGAGGGTCCCAGATAAGTTACTACTAATCCTTGGTCAAAACAAGAAAGTGCCAGGGCTGGGACTCGAACTTAGGTCTGCCTGACTCCAGCAGTCCCCGCCCGGGCGGGAGGCCCTCCCAGCTAAAGCCTTTCGCCGGCCGGATTACCTAGGGGAAAGTGACTTAACCTCTTCCAACGCCCCCAAGGTCAGAAGCGTTGCTTTTGGGGAGAAAATGGTGTGCAAACGAGACGCGAAGGAAACGCAAACCCTCGGTCGCCGGCGCAGCCTCCTCCCGGAGCCCGGCTGTCTAACGGCCCAGAGGGAGAGGTCGCACCCGCGACCCCTGGCACCTGCGAAACCAGGCGCCCGGTGGGCCGGCAGAAACGAAACCTCAACACCCTCCAGCCTCCCCCGCTTGGTTCCCGGAACCGGCGGGCCAGGCTTCGCGGAAACTTGCCCGGCGGCAGCCGCCTCGGGCCCCGGGACCGCCCCGACCGCAGCCCGCAGCTCCGGGCTGGGAGGTGCGGGCCGGCGCGGTCGGGCCCGAGCAGCAACGCGACGCGCGCTTCCGCCCCGCTCGGCTCCGGCGGCGGCCGCGGCGGCCCCACAATCCCCTTCTGGCTCCGGGGACGGGCGGGGCGGGGCGAGCGGGCGGAAATAATTTTCTGTTTGGTCGTCTCTGCCCCAGTCCCTTCGCCGCGGGACGCGCGAGGCGGGAGAAGGTGCGGGAGGCGGGAAGCAGGAGCGGGAGCGCGCGGCCCTGGCACGCTTAGGGCGGCGGAGAGGGCTCGAGCAGGGATTGAGCACCTACTGTGTGCCTTCGCGCTTTACGGAAGGATTTTCGTTCGGTGTTCACTACAGCCCCTGTCCCAGAGTACCAACGCCCCACTTACAGAGGGACGAGCCGGACCTCGGAGAGGTGAAGTGACCCGCCGAGAGTCGCCCCGCCAGGGTCTGCGTGACACCCCAGAGCAGTGCTCAGTGACGCGGGGAGAGCGCGGTAAACTTGAACCACTTGTTGGCTGGTTCCCGCTCTTGCTCGTGTTTTGCGGAACGGCACATAGTGGGCGCTCAGGAAGACACATGTTGGAAGCTTTATATTGAACTTGACAGCTCGACCCTGAGTACCCGCCAGGAATCCAGCCCAGCCCGCGGGGCACCCGGTTTCCCCAGACCTAGCAGGGAACATTTGCGGATGGGCGCGCAGCGGCTCGGACATCCCAGCTCCGCACCCGCCCTCGACCAACGCGTGGTGGCGGAACCCCTGCCGCAGCGGGGGACAGACTGGGTTCAAGTCCCGCCTCCGCCGATTTCAGGCTGAGTGACTTTGGGCAAGTCACTTCTTCCCGTCGAAACCTCAGTTGCTCCAACCACAAAATGAGGGATATGAACACCCACCCTAAAAGGGTGTGGGGAGGATTAAACGAAACAATGTTCCTAAAACGCTAAACTTACAAGTGTTGTCTCCCGTCCAGCCCACACACTTAGGGACAAACCCGGCACGGGGTGACATGAAACAAAGGCTTCCCAGCGGCCCCTGTCCCCAGGTCGTCCACCCCTGGGGCGTAGGCACCTTTTAGTGACCTCCATCCGGCGAAACCCGAAACTGCGGCCACCCTGGCAGCGGTGGGTCCCAAAAGCAAACATTCAAGTATTCTGAAACTCGTGCATGACTAGGACTGACATTTACGTTTAGTTTTCTTGCAGTTTTATTCTTGCTAGTAAAGGTAATTCGTTAGAAACCCGTAAGTGCAGTTTCTCCTCTGTGTCTTGTTTAACTTTTCGTACTATCGAAATTCACAAATTTGACCAAGGAACTGGAGCGCGGCGGTCCTCGCCGGGATCCCGGCCGTCCCAATAATCTGGCTTTCGGCCACTACTCTCTGGCACAGAGGTCGAAGAGACGGGCTTTCCCTGCACCGCCCTGTTTAGATGCAGCCTCTTTGTCCCGGCAGCCCTCCGGGATTCCCAGTGTCCACCGGAGCGAGGGGAGGTGGGGGGATGCAGCCCAGAACTCAGCTTCCCGGACCTCCCCAAACTCCCGCCTCTCCGGGATTAAGGGAGTAAATCCCTGATGCCAAAGACCAGGTCAAGGACAAGTTCTCCCCCGCCCTACTCCCCCCTCCTGGGCGGGGATTCACCTCCCTTCCCGGATGAAAGGTACTAAAGAGCCGACGGGGGGCCGCGGCGGGCCCCAGGCCCTTGATGTTCCGGTTGAACAGGTGCTGGTGAAAAGGAGGCGGACCCAGCGGAAGAGTCTGCCAGGGGGCAGTGCGCCGAAGGGGGGACGGCCTCCTCCACCCCCAGTCCCCTTGCCCGTCTTCCCCTCTCCTGTCTGTTTGCCCCTCCCCCGCAGGAAGCGTTCCCGGCTGCGAGGTCTTTGAAGTGCCGTTGAAGCCCCCAGGACTGCCTTCTCCCCAAAGCCACCCGACCTCCCGCTGTGGGGGTGGGGGGAGGCGGGTGACCTTTAGTCTCCACGGGCGTCGCCCCGCTTTAGGAAGTTTTTGGGAGTCAGATCTCATCCCCTCCTTGCCCACACCGGTCTTGGGAAGAAGCCTTTGGGCCGACGCCCCTCACTTCTCCTCCAGACTCGATTACAGGGACTTGAGTCCTCTGGAGTGCTGCGTGCGAGTTACCTGTGTGTCTGGGTGCGTGCCTAGAGGTCAAGTGTAACTGGTGTTCGCGAGCGCCCCGTGGTTGCGGGTCTCTAACTCTTGTGGGTCTCTAAGCGCGCCCGCGGGGCTAGAGCGGAGGTTCGCGTCTCTGGGAGGGTCAGTGGTGTGACTGAGGCTGGCAGTGAGCTCGTGTCCGTGGGTGTCTTGGTGTGTTTCTGGGGCTCCGAGACCCTGTGCGTGCGTGTGTGTCGGTGAACCCGACAGGAAGCTCCCCGAGGGCAGGAATATGTTTTGCTCTCTACTGGATCTCGATCCCTGCGGCTGACACCGAGCGTTTAATAAATGTCTGTTGAATGAATAAATGTCTGCGTGCGAGAGGGTCTAACCCTCCAGAGTGGCCTCCAAGGAAAGGGCCCGAGAGCGCCCATCCAAAAAGACCCCCAGACACAGGAGTGGGGGGGGGGCGAACGGCCCGCGTCTCTCTCGTTTCTCGTAGCGCCCCTAACCCCGGTCTCCACCCCCAAGTTTCCCTGGGGCTGAAGAACCCACCCAGAGACGAAGATTTGGGCGGAGGGGGCTGGAGACTCGGGAACCCGGGGCCCGAGACGGGAGGGCGGGCAGAGGGAGGGCTCGGGAGCGACGACCCAGAGCCGTAAAACGAAAAAGAAAGCAGGCAAAGCAGCGCGGAGCGAACGAGCGAAAAGCTCCCTACCAAGCCAGGCTTTGTTCCCTGAACCTAAGACTTTACCCGGCGGCGGGCGGCGGGCGCGCCGGGAGCGAGCGAGCGGAGGCGCGCGGCCATGGCTGCCGCGGCCGGGCAGGGGGGCCGGGGGGGCGGCGCGTGAGCGGGCGGCGCGGGGCGGCGCGGGGCGGGCGGGCGCCCGCGATGTGCCACTCGGCGCCTCCCCCGCCGGGCCCGGGCTGCGCGGCGGCGGGGCGGCCCTAGGAGCCGGGCGAGCCGCGCGGAGGGGGCGAGCCCAGCGCGCGAGTCTCATTGTTGTGGGGGGGGCCCGTCGGGGCATGAGGGCGAGAGCACGGCGGGGGGGGCGGCCAGACAGAGCGAGCGAGGAGGAGGAGGAGGAGGACGCGGAGGAGGAGGAAGGAGGAGGCAAAGAAAAGAAGCGGCGGCGGCGGAGGAAGAGGAGGAGGGGGCGAGGAGGCGCGCGGCCCCCCGCTCCCTCCCTCCCCTCGACCCCCGACCCCCGCCGGCCGGCCCCCCGCCCCAGCCCCGGAGGGAGCTCATGGGAGTATGAAGGAGATGGTAGGAGGCTGCTGCGTATGTTCGGACGAGAGGGGCTGGGCCGAGAACCCGCTGGTCTACTGCGATGGGCACGCGTGCAGCGTGGCCGTCCACCAAGGTACGGGGGTGGCCCGCGGGGGGCGGCGGGACCCCGGGGGCGGCGTGCGCGGGGCGCCCCCGGCCGCGCCCTCCGGAGACCTCCCGGGGCTCGCGCGCCCCTCCCCCACCCCACCTGAAGGGAAGGGAGGCGTGGGGGGGCTCCCCCCGCCCGGTCCTGGAAGACCGGGTCAGGCATTGTTTTCTTGCCTATTGTTCCAGTTCCGCGCCCCCCACCCCAAGTTGAGGGAGTTTGGGGAGAGTCTAGGAAGCAATGAGTGAACTCCCCGCGCCCCACAGCGCCGGTGTCGGGGCTGCCCGGGGAATGTTTACCTGCGAGGTGTCCCCTCCCGCCCGCGCCCGGTTATTTTGGTCCGGGCTCCGGGAGGAAGAGGTCAAGGGGGGGGCGTCATCCCCCCTCGCTTCCGGATACTGGGAGGAGCGGACTTGGCAAGGGAAGAGAAGGGTCCCAGGGGAGAAGGGACTCCTAAAATCCGCCAGGGAAGAGCTGAGGATGGGAGAGAGGTTGTGCAGGGGGCCGGAATCGAGAAGAGGGAGGCTTGGAGTTTCCCCCAGCAGCACATGGTTCGGGAGTTAACTCCTTGAGGAATCTTGCCGAGGGCGCAGGCTGGCATCTCCCGCCTGCCTGGCACAGGCAGCCGGGTCCCCCCTTCCTGGGACAACCCTGAGTGCTGTGGCCGGGGGCTCTTCCCGCCACGCTCCTCTCGGCTTCCAGCACTGCACCTGCCCTCGGCCTTGACTTTTGACCTGATTCTGTGATACTCAGAGGTAGAAGATGAGGTCCCTAGACCCCCTACTTCTCCGCCTCGTCCCTCACTGGCCCTTTAAGAAATCCCCCCGCCCACAACAACAAAACGTGTTTGACGGTCGTGACTGTTGTCCCCTCTGGTTTTCTCTATTCTTGATTCTGATCGCTGGTCCGCTGGGAAGCAAGTCCAGAAAGGGCGTGGGGGGAGGATCTTCTGGAAGTTTGAGGTCAAAGACTCAGACTTCCCGCCCTCTTTGGAGTAGCTGCTTGTGTGGCTGAAGGCTGGTGTTGTGTGGTCGGGCAGGGCTGCTGTTGAGTGTGTGACCCCCAGACTGGGGTGCAGCCCCCACCGCTGGTACTGGCTCTAGTCCTTTGGGGTCACTGCCTTCCCCCAGTTACCCTGGGAAAAAGCCACTGGCTGACAGCTTTGCTCAGAGACTGTCCTCCCCACCCTCAGCTTGCTATGGCATCGTTCAGGTGCCAACGGGACCCTGGTTCTGCCGGAAATGTGAATCTCAGGAGCGAGCAGCCAGGGTGGTGAGTTCCAGACTACCCCCCTCCACTCCCCGGGCCCCTCCCGCACACCTGAGCGGCTGGGGTTGAGCTAGGGGACTCTGAGGCTGAGGCTGGGTGGGACTTAGCCCTGCCGCACAGACTTCCTGTTTCCTGCACACCTATCTCCAGCCCCATCTCTGCCTCACACTCATCCCTCCCTCTGCCCCACCTCAGGCATGGGGCTTTGGTTTTTTTCTGTTTCAACTTTTTTATTATGGGAAGTTTCCTACTCGTTGAAAAATAGAGGGAAAACGATAATGAATCTCGCGTTGTCTTCCTCATCTTCAACAGATGGCCAATTCTGTTTCCACCGTAGTCCCACTGATGCCCCTAGAGCTTAGCATTTCAGCCTGGGACCCCTTGAATGTATTCAGGGAGGGCCCGGCTCAGCAGATCCCCCAACCCCTGTGCACCCTTGCATTGGCAGAGGTGTGAGCTGTGCCCACACAAAGATGGGGCATTGAAGAGGACTGATAATGGAGGTGAGGCGGGCTCATCTGCTGAGGTCAGCAAGGGCCCCTGAGCAGGGTCTGGGAAGGCAGAAGTGGACTGGGCTGGGGTGGAGAGGCTGGGTTTCCTTTCCCGGGCCGGTGCTGGAATCTGATGGGAAGGCTGTGGAGGAGGGGACAGTCTGCAGTGTGGGGTCATGAGGGGTGGGGTTTCCAGCTTGCCATCCGCAGCTGAGGCCACCCCCACACTGCCTCAGGCTGGGCACACGTGGTGTGTGCCCTCTACATCCCCGAGGTGCAGTTTGCCAACGTGCTCACCATGGAGCCCATCGTGCTGCAGTACGTGCCTCATGATCGCTTCAACAAGGTCAGCGGCCCCCCTCCCCACCTTGTCCCCTGCAGGTTCCCTCCCATCCGTGGTTCCTCCAGCACCCCCTTCATCTAGTGTAATTTGAGTCTGTCCAAGCAGCACCGTCAGGAAACTTGGGAGGTGGGCCGTCGGTACCTACTAGTGAACCACCCTTCTGTGGACAGACACACTCATGCCCTGGCACTCAGGTGAAATAGTAGGCTCCCCTGCAGTAGTTCTGCCAGAGGGTAGACCTTCACAGGTAGTTCATTCATTCATTCGCTGGCACACTCTGTTCTGTGCTGATCAAGACAGGTGTGGTGCCCGCTCAATGGAACACAAGTTCTTGGATGCGAAGATTGTAAATATCAGTAAAGAGGCAAATAAAGTAAACACAACTTGTGATAAGTGCTATGGGGAAAATAAGACACTAAAATAAAGACCTGCCGGGGGCTTACTTTAAACCAGATGGTCAAGGAAGGAGACATTTAGGCTGAGACCTGGGGCATGAGAAGGAGCCAGCCCCAGGATGGTGAGGGCGTCCAGGTTCCAGGCAGAAGAAAGCTTGCCCAGAGGCACAGAGGTGGCATAAGCTCCCCAGTGAGCAAGACAGACACCAGCCTTGGCCTTTCAGAGCTCGCCATCCACGGACTGTGCCACCCAGCATAGTAGCTGCGGGCTACAGGTGGCTACATAAATTAATCAAAATTAAATACAGGCTGGGCGAGGTGGCTCAGGCCTGTAATTCCAGCACTTTGGGAGGCTGAGGTGGGTGGATCACCTGAGGTCAGGAGTTTGGGAACAGCCTGGCCGACACAATGAGACCCTATCTCTAGAAAAAATGCAAAAATTAGCTGGCCATGGTGGTGGGCACCTGTAATCCCAGCTACTCGGGAGGCTGAGGCAGGAGAATCCCTTGAACCGGGAGGTGTAGGAGGTTGCAGTGAGCTGAGATGGTGCCACTGCACTCCAGCCTGGGCAACAGAGGGAGACTGTCTCAAATTTAGAATCACCACAATCTAGAATCTGGTTCCTCAGTCACGTTAGCCATAGTTCAAGTGCTAATAGCTCATGTGACTGATAGCAGTTGTCTTGGATAGTGTAGACCACAGAGCGTTTTCATCATTCCAGACAGTTCTGTTGGAGCCAGGCACGGTGGCTCATGCCTATAATCCCAGCACTTTGGGAGGCCAAAGCGGGTGGATCACCTGAGGTCAGGAGTTTGAGACCAGCCTGGCCGACACGGTGAAACCTCATTTCCACTAAAAATATAAAATTAGCCAGGCGTGGTGGCAGGCGCCATGCTACTCAGGAGGGTACTCAGCTACTCGGGAGACTGAGGCAGGAGAATCGCTTGAATCCCGGAGGCAGAGGTGGTGTCATCCAGGTGAAATAGTAGGCTCCCCTGCAGTAGTTCTGCCAGAGGATAGACCTTCACAGGTAGTTCATTCATTCATTTGCTGGCACACTCTGTTTTTGTTTTTTTTTTTTTTTGAGATGGAGTCTTGCTCTGTCATCCAGTCTGGGTGACAGAGCAAGACTCCATCTCAAAAAAAAAAAAAAGTTCTGTTGGATTTCACTGAGCTAAGATTATAGGGAGAAAATGGAATGAAGGGAGTGGCCTAGGGACCATCAGTAGGACAGGGGCTCCCTGGAGGAGGGGACGATTGCGCCCTGTCCTGCAGACCTGTTACATCTGCGAGGAGCAGGGCCGGGAGAGCAAGGCGGCCTCGGGAGCCTGCATGACCTGTAACCGCCACGGATGTCGGCAAGCTTTCCACGTCACCTGGTGAGACCCCCTTCCCACTGCCCCCCGACCCCCCCAGGGTTGTCTGGGATGGCCACTGATGGGGTTCATCCTAGCTGCTGTCTCTTCGGTGATGGTGGCAGTGCTTTTCTTTGGATGGTCTTGGCTTCACCTCAGCAGGGGTCCAGGAGCCGGGGAGGAAGGTGGCTGGTCTGATGTGTGGCCACAGCCGTCTCAGGCTGACCTCTCTGGTTAGTGCCCAGATGGCAGGCCTGCTGTGTGAGGAGGAAGTGCTGGAGGTGGACAACGTCAAATACTGCGGCTACTGCAAATACCACTTCAGCAAGATGGTGAGTCCCGCTGCCAGCGCACGAGGGCTCAGCCAGCCGTGGTTAGACGGTTAGATGATGGTTAAAGGACATGGGTTCTGGGCCAGGCCAGCGCCTGGTGCCGGGAGGACAGAGGTGAAGAACCCAGTCCCCCTACCTGAGAGGAGCTCTTCGTTTGATCAGGAATAAAGTACAGCATCAGGGGTGTGGATCAGAGCTGGACTGCAGTCTGTCCTAGAAGACAGAGCTCAGACCCTGCCTGTCGCAGTCTGGGAGGCTTCAAGGAAGAGGTAGCATTTAAGCTGAGTGGAGGTGGAAATCAAAATAAGAGCCAACGTTTGTGTGGCAGGCAACATTTACGACGCCTCTGCCTCAGGCCGAAGTTCTTCCCCGGCGTTATTTGTGTGCTCCCCCACCAGTCCCAAGAACTAGGTGTGCTGTATTTTTTCCATTTTACAGATGAGTAAACTAAGGCTAAGGTTATATAACTTACCTCACAGTGGGTAGATGGGATTTAGAACGGGCAGCCTGATTTGAAAACTCCTTGGGAGCCTGCCAAACAGAGAAACGAGTCCCAGGTAGAGGGACTGGCGTGGACAGAGAGTCCTGAGAGGAGGAAGGGCAGGGGTGAGCGGCAAGAGAACGGGGTGTTTGGTGGGGAAGAGGCAGGAGATGAGGTGAGAAAGCAGGGCCCGAGCTGGACTTGTCTCCAGGTACACCCCAGGCTTCAGGAGCCCAGGGAGAGGCTGGAAAGGGTGGCACTGTGTTCGTGGAGGGACTTGGGTGTCCCAGAAGCTGTGAGGTGTTCTGGAGCAGTTGGCGGCAGCTTGGATCTACCCCCTAGCCACAGGCTTGTAGGGCTTGTAAGCAGAAGAGTAACATGATCAGATTTGTTTTTTAGGAAGATTACCCTGGCAGCCGCTGCGAGGCTGGATCAGAAGGGCTGAGGCTGGTGGCCGGGAGACAGCTGCAAGAAGGGGGATGGAGGGGTGAGCCTGGATGCTAGAACCATTTCTAGGGAGACTTACCTAATCGTGGGAGTAGCTGAGAAGCAGGAGTCGGGGGTGACATTTAGGATCTAGGCTCTGGACACTGAGTGAATGGAGCTTGAATCCCTGGGGGTACCATGAACAAGGGGGTGCCGCTGGCTTCTGTAGGGGAACACATGTCCTGATTTGCTCCACATAGCCCCAGTTCATACCTGCTGCCCTCGTGTAATTATGAATAGTTCCCCTCTTTCATCTTTGAAAGCGTCCAGGTTTGAGTCATAAGTTATATGGTCACCTTGGTTTCAGGGTTTGATGATAACTTAGAACGAGGTAAGTGAGCTTGGTTTGATTTGCAGGAGACGCCACGTGGAGACATTCAGATTTGGTGGATGTCAGACTCCTGGGCAGGGTGTAGTGGCAGCCCCAGGCTTATAAGGCAGGGGCGGGAATCCCAGGGTGTCCACAAGGATAGGTCACGTGGGCCACGAAAGAGGGGGCCGTGCAGGGTGTGAGGCTCTATGGGTAGGAGTGGTGTCCAACACCGGAGCTGCGGGTCAACAAGGCCTGAAATTAGTCCCTGGATTTGGCAGCTGGGAGGTAGCTGGTGACCTTAGAGGGAGCAGCCCCAGGCCCAAGGAGGGTGAAGCCTTCAGGCTGGGTCTGTAGTGAGAGAATGGGGCGGTAGGCGCTGGAAGGAGAGGCAGCGTGAAGGTGGTTTGGGTTGTCTTGAAGTTTACTTCCCGCTTTCTTCAAGTTTAGGGCAGTATATCCTTAGGGACAGGAGCAACCACTGTGTTTTGTGGAGGGGAGAGGCCAGGAAAAAGGAGAAGGGAATGATAGCTGAGCCGAGCACCTGGAGGGAAGATCGGAGTGCAGGGGAACATCGACTCCCCATGAGGGATCCCTGCATGGCCTCTGCTCTGGGGAAGGAGGTGGAAACGGGCTGAGGCTCAGTCAGCCAAGAGGGCACCATGGAGAGAGTGAAAGACCCGGGCCCAGTCTCACCTCCACCTGGGCTCTCGGGGGCCAAGATGCGTCCTTGCCTCTTTTGGGCCTCAGTGGTTGACTGCATGTTGGATGAGCCGGCTGGGACGCGCTAGGATTTTCAGGCTGGAGAACACCCTTCTGCTGAGCAGAGCATCACAAAGGACATGAGGTCCTCTTAGTGATGGACGGGGCACTGGGACTGACCCCCAGGATCAGGATCCTCTAACCTTCTGGAAGCGTTCCCTAAGCCCATGAGAGGAGGGTCTGCAATTCCTCTCAAATCTCTCCCCCAGAAGACATCCCGGCACAGCAGCGGGGGAGGCGGAGGAGGCTCTGGAGGAGGAGGAGGAGGAGGAGGAGGAGGAGGAGGAGGAGGAGGCAGCAGCAGCAGCATGGGGGGAGGTGGCAGTGGCTTCATCTCTGGCAGGAGAAGCAGGTCAACCTCACCATCTACACAGCAGGACAAGCACCCCACCCACCATGAGAGGGGCCAGAAGAAGGTAGAACTGCCCCCCTACCCCCCACCCCCGTTGTCACTCCCACAGGGGGACTCAGAGACTCACAAACATGGCTCAGGAAGTCATCATGGCTGGGCGTGGTAGCTCACTCCTGTAATTCCAGGACTTTGGGAGACCGAGGTGGGTGGATCACCTGAGGTCAGGAGTTTGAGACCAGCCTGGCTAACGTGGAGAAACCCTGTCTCTATTAAAAATAACAAAAAAAAAAAAAAAAAAAAAAAAAAAATTAGCTGGGCATTGTGGTGGTCATCTGTAATCCCAGCTACTTGGGAGGCTGAGACAAGAGAATTGCTTAAACCTGGGAGTTGGAGGTTGCAGTGAGCGGACATTATGCCACTGCACTCCAGCCTGGGGGACAGGGCAGGACTCTGTCTCAAAAAAAAAAAAAAAAAAAGCCATTAGAAGGTGCCTCCAAGGTCTCCGCCCTGCCTTCTTCCTTAGGCCACTGAGGGCAGGAGGGGGCTGATGAAATGAAACAGGTCGGGGGGCGGGGGGTGCCTAGAGGGTGAGGAGGGAGCTTGACCTCCCTGTGGCTGTATTAGTGGTTCCTCTGGGTCCTCCCCATGACATCACAGTGTCCCCCAAGCCCCAGACGCGTGGCTCTGCACGTTGTACACGTCTCTGCGGTCCAGCCGTGTACCACCTAATGTGTAAGTGCCCATGCCAGCGTTCCCTTGAGCCACACAGCACAGCATGCCCTGCTCTCGTCCCTCTGTGCAGCTGTGTCCCAGGTGGACACCCTTGCAGGTGTGTGTACACGGGCATGGTGCTCTGTGGCACTGGCGTGATAATGGGACAGGCTATTTTTAGCCAGTGGGGGGGGAGCTGTTGGCTCACATCAAAACTTGCCTGAGTTGCTCCTGCCCCGCCCATTCCCCATCCTTCCTCAGGGGGAGATAATGCCCACAAAACCCCATCCCTGAGAGGGGCTCAGCTCCCCACGCCCACACCATGTATATCCTCGCCCAGACCACTCCCTAGTACAATATCTGGTCACCTCTCCCTCTCCAGAGTCGGAAGGACAAAGAACGCCTTAAACAGAAGCACAAGAAGCGGCCTGAGTCGCCCCCCAGCATCCTCACCCCGCCTGTGGTCCCCACTGCTGACAAGGTACTGCTGCCCATGCTGAGGAGGGATGGTGCATGGGTCTGGGGCAGCAGAGGGAGGGAGGCAAGGGACGAGAGGTTGATGAGCTGGAGACCTGGACACCCTCCCCACAGCTTCAGGTTAATGCCACTCCCCGCCCCCCCCAACCCCACACCCTGTATTCCCTCTTCCAGCCTAGAAGGGGCCACCAATCACTGACCAATCATGGGATTTGGGGTTTGGGGTGCTGGCTGCCACATGTTCCCATCTGCCTCTGTACAGACAGAGGGCCTCAGCCCTGGCACTTGTCTGCAGAGAGTGGAGAGAGCAGCACTCAGGGCTGTTCTCCAGGTTCTAGGGCCCATGTCCCCAGAGATAGTAGAGGACATCCCCCACCCCCATCAGGAAGACACCTAAAGCTTGTCACCCAACCCAGATCCCACTCCGTGGCGGTTGGAGGGGCTGAAAGTTCTAACCAAGGCGGCATGGGGGGCAGGCCCCTGGACAGTACCCCGAAACTCCCACCCATCCCACCCTTCCCAGCAGGGCATCGCATGTCAGGCCTGCCTCCAGAAATGGGCAACATCTGGATGAGCCATGGCAGGGCCTACCCTAGGCCAGGGAATGACTCATCCAAGCTGGAGCAGCCCTCCCGCTCCCTGCAGCCTGCCCTCCCCATGGGAAGAGAACCAGGGAGGATGTGGGGAGCTGGAAAAACTGCTTCCTCCTGTCACCATTAGTGCCCATTCACCTCCACCCCACCTCAAACAGTGGGCAGAGCTCTGGGCACCTTAGCAGGAGGCTCAGGTATCAGGTTTCCAGGGTGATGTTGCTGTGGCAACTGCCCCAGTAAACTCTCCGCTCCCTGCTTCCCTCGGCTCACCTGAAGAGCTTGTCATTCATGCTCTCTGACCTTTCCAGGGGCCTGTAAGCAGGTGGTAAGAAATGGCCAGGGATCTGGGAGTTTCTCCAGTAACTGGATGTCCCTTGGACATGCCAGAGAACCCTGCCCATCCCCCTCTACTCGCCCCAGCACTTCAGCTACCCTTCCCCCCAGCCCCTCTTTTCCATGCTCTCAGAACCACATCTGGCTCCCTTCAGAACTCCAGCTGTTGAAAAGAACAAAGAGGAAGACAGAGACCAGGACTCTGCCCGGGAGGGGCAGTGCAGGGTGGCTGTTGTTTCTGTCCAGCCTGCCTTCAGCATTAGTCTGTTCAGCACCATTAACTGAATACCTGGTTGCTACCAGGAGGAAAAGGGCCATCCCTGGCAACAGCCTGAAGCACAAAGTCACAGCATGCCAGGCTATGTTCTAGAACCAGGAGATGGAAGGACATGTGGAGATTAGTTCATTAATACTCAAAATAATCTAATGAAGTTGGTAATTTACAAACCCCATTTAATACATGAAGATCATGGGGCACAGAGAGGTTAAGTATTTGCCTAAAAGCACACAGCGAGTAAAGTGGTAAGAGTTGAGATTCAAATGCAGTCTGGGTTGAAGGCTTGTGCTCTTCACCAGCCCACAGCACTGTCTCTGCAGTTGATGCCATGGAACGCCTCATCACTTATTGACCCCATACCATGTATCTGGCATCATGCTGCTTCTCACTCACCACATACGCATAGTACTCCCCATAAGGACGCTGATGCTCACGGAGGTTGAGACATTGCACAGTATAACATGGAGGTGAGGCCAGGCACGGTAATCCCAGCACTTTGGGAGGTCAAGGCAGGTGGATCACCTGAGGTCAGGAGTTTGAGACCAGCCTGGCCAACATGGTGAAACCCTATCTCTACTAAAAATACCAAAAATTAGCCAGGTTTGGTGGCAGGTACCTGTGACCCCACTACTTGGGAGGCTGAGGCAGGAGAATCGCTTGAACCGGGGAGGTGGAGTTGCAGTGAGCCAAGATCATGCCACTGCACTCCAGCCTGGGCAACAAAAGTGAAACTCTCAAAAAAACATAAACAAAAACAAAACATACACAAAAAAAATCGCATGGCGGTAAAGGGCAGAGCCCCTCAGGCTCATACCTTGCCCTGCCCCACTCCAGAGTGCATGCTCCCTCAGCCGCCACCCTGCCACTCTCCTTGGTTTCTGGTACCTCAGACGTGGGACAGAATATTTCAGTACAGAATGGCGGCTGTTGACATGTGGTCATGTGTGCACAGGGCTCTGGAAGTAAGGGGACAGAGTACCTTGTACCTGAGGTATTTAGGGAGGCTTCAGAGAAGAGGGACTTCTAAGCTGGATTTTAAAGGATGAGAAATTTCCCAGGAAGAGTAAAGACAGGCTCTCCTGGCAGATGCTTAGTGTGTGCAATCTCAGGTCGTCTAGGAAGACCATGGGTGGTCAGAGAACGGGTGGGAGACCAGGGGGCTGAAGTTTGGGGTGGCAGCCGGAGGGCTCCAGGATGACACCAGAGAAGAAACCTGTTCTCCTGTGGGTCCTCTTCTCTGCCCCGCACTTCTAGCGTAGGTCCAGCCCTCTCAGGCAGCCTAAGTATTCAGTGAATCAGTGGACCAATGAGGCACTCAGTTCAGACTCTGGGACTGTTTTCATCTCTCCGTCACCTTCCAACTTCCCGCTTGGGGTGTAGGACAGACACCTTTTTGGGTTCAGTGAATTCCCCTCTGCCTCACACCCAGGAGTTCCACAGCTGCCTCCCCATATCCCTGGTCTAGGAGCTCCCAGCCACTCCCTGCCCGGAAGTCCTTCATGAAGCTAGCTGTGGGATCTCCCAGTTGAGCCAGGTCCTTTGCCCTCCTGCTTCACTCCCATGCCAGGATCAGCACAGGCCCAGACAGCTGGTGGCGAGCCTTCTCTTTTCCTCTCCTTCAGGTCTCCTCCTCGGCCTCCTCTTCCTCCCACCACGAGGCCAGCACGCAGGAGACCTCTGAGAGCAGCAGGGACTCAAAGGGGAAAAAGTCTTCCAGCCACAGCCTGAGTCATAAGGGGAAGAAACTGAGCAGTGGGAAAGGTGTGAGCAGTTTTACCTCCGCCTCCTCCTCTTCCTCCTCCTCTTCCTCCTCCTCTGGGGGGCCCTTCCAGCCTGCAGGTGAGTGTGGGCATCCAGAAGGAGGCTGGGAGTGGAATGGGGACAGCCTTTTGTCCTGAGCTTTTCTGGCGAGGGACTTTGCGTATTGGTTTGCATCTCATTTACTTCTACATTGGTTCAGGATAAAGATGGGGGATCCCCACCAAGTGACTCCTCTCCAGACCTGCCCCTCAGCCCTTCCTTCTTGAGCCACAACTCTCCTCCTCTCCCCATCGGGGGCTGCCCTGCCTACCCCGTAACAGTATTCTTATCCCTTGCATTTGTGTTGCAAGGTGCCCCTTTTCAAGCACCCCCGTTAACATTATCTCCTATAATCGCTACAGTCATCTGGCGAGGCCAGTGGGGTGCGAGTTACTCTCCCCCATTTTATTACAGGTGGGAAAGCTGGAAGTGTCAGGGGTACTCATCCCAGGACACAGACAGTGGCAGAGCTGGGACAGGAAACCAGGCGTCCCCATTCCTGGACCAGAGCTGTCTCCCGCCAGTACCCATGGGAGTGGGAAGGAGTGCGGGGATCCGGGTTCCAGCTGTAACCCTGTTTTCTCTCTGTGCAGTCTCGTCCCTGCAGAGCTCCCCTGACTTTTCTGCATTCCCCAAGCTGGAACAGCCAGAGGAGGACAAGTACCCCAAGCCCACAGCCCCCGCTGCTTCAGCCCCGCCTTCTCCCTCAGCCCCCGAACCCCCCAAGGCTGACCTTTTTGAGCAGAAGGTGGTTTTCTCTGGCTTCGGGCCCATCATGCGCTTCTCCACCACCACCTCCAGCTCAGGCCGGGCCCGGGCGCCCTCCCCTGGGGACTATAAGTCTCCACACGTCACGGGGTCTGGGGCCTCAGCAGGCACCCACAAGCGGATGCCCGCGCTGAGTGCCACCCCTGTGCCTGCTGAGGACACCCCTGAGACAGGCCTGAAGGAGAAGAAGCATAAGGCCAGCAAGAGGAGCCGCCATGGGCCAGGCCGTCCCAAGGGCAGCCGGAACAAGGAGGGCACTGGGGGCCTAGCTACCCCATCCTTGCCCAGTGCCCAGCTGGCTGGCTTTACCGCCACTGCTGCCTCACCCTTCTCCGGAGGTTCCCTGGTCAGTTCTGGCCTGGGAGGTCTGGCCTCCCGAACCTTTGGGCCTTCTGGGAGCTTGCCCAGCCTGAGCCTGGAGTCCCCCTTGCTAGGGGCAGGTTAGTGACCCCTGGGGATGGATGGCATTTCGGGGCCCAGCCAGTCTAGTGAGCTTACACATGCACTTAGAAGAAAATGGGATGGATACTGCTCCAAAGGATAGAGTAAAGAGGTGACGGTCACCTCCAGGACATCCCCCTGTGTGTGGCTGGAGTGGAAAGGATTGGGGGCAGATTACCAGCAGGTTTTACCAAGTTTTGTGAAGGAGATTAGAAAAGCTAGGAATTCCCCAACCCTGGGCAGGGCAGTTTAACAAGCAGATGCAGCAAACAGATGTCACCCAGGCAAAAAGTGACATCTTTGCAGCAAGAGGGTTAGATTGGGGTGTGTAGCCAGATCCTGGGGAGCGCTCTAGCTGAGGAGGGGCTGTCGCAGCCACCTGGCTGAGGAGGAATCAGGGGTGGAGGGTAATAGTGTGCTTCCCTCTGTCCTTCTTGTGCCTGCAGGCATCTACACCAGTAATAAGGACCCCATCTCCCACAGTGGCGGGATGCTGCGAGCTGTCTGCAGCACCCCCCTCTCCTCCAGCCTGCTGGGGCCCCCAGGGACCTCGGCCCTGCCCCGCCTCAGCCGTTCCCCGTTCACCAGCACCCTCCCCTCCTCCTCTGCTTCTATCTCCACCACTCAGGTGAGACCCGACTCCCGGGCTCTTCCTTCCCCGGGCAGGTTGGGGATAGACTGGCAGAGGACCCCAGCCTTCCATGGAAATTGGAGCAACTGGGCTTTTGCCACCAGACCTCCCTCCGGGCTCTGGTCCACTCTGCTCCCCAGCACGCCTGGCCCCCTGCACGCCGGTATACACAGTTGTGCCTAGATCCAAGACTAACGGCCAGGCTGCGTTCTGCCTCCCTCCTTCAGGTGTTTTCTCTGGCTGGCTCTACCTTTAGCCTCCCTTCCACCCACGTCTTTGGAACCCCCATGGGTGCCGTTAACCCCCTCCTCCCCCAAGCCGAGAGCAGCCACACAGGTATGTGAATCTCTGACCCCCCCACCTTCCCTTTCCAAAGGTAATACCCATCACTTGCATGTGACCCCAAAAAGGATGGAAGAGCTTTCTGGCTGCCCCCCTCCCTCTGGCTATTGCCCTCCCTGCAAAAACAAATAGGCTGGGTGTGGTGGCTCATGCCTGTGATCCCAGCACTTTGGGAGGTGGGCGGATCACCTGAGATCAGGAGTTGGAGACCAGCCTGGCCAACATGGTGAAACCCCGTCTGTCTCTACTAAAAATAGAAAAATTAGCTGGGCATGGTGGTGGGCACCTATAATCCTAGCTACTCAGGAGGCTGAGGCAGTAGAATTGCTTGAAGCCGGAGGCGGAGGTTGCAGTGAGCTGAGGTCCCGCCGTTGCACTCCGGCCTGGGTGACAAGACTCCGTCTCAAAACAAAACCCCTGCGCAGTGGCTGCCACCTGTAATCCCAGCTACTTAGGAGACTAGCCTGGGCAACATAGGGAGAATCTGTCTGTTAAAAAAAAAAAAAAAAAATATCCACACACAGCAAACCAGAGTACACTTTCACGTTAGAACCCAATGAGAAGGCAGGGCAGGGCAGTTACTGGTCCGTCTCACAGAAGAAAAAGGCAGAGATGGAAGACTCGGTTAAGGCAGGGAATGGCAGAGCCAAAGCTCAGATTCTGGTCTCCCGACTCCAAGCCCAGTGCTTTCACTGGTGTAGTGTAGCCTCCCCGTTGGCCTCTTGGTGTGTCCCTGGGATCAGCGCTTACGAAGGGCCCAACCTCTCTGGGTATTATGGAGTTAAGGGGGCGGGCCACAAGCTCCCCGCCCTCTCCCTGGAGAGTCAACCCAGCCCGAAGAGCTGATTGGTGCAGGGAGACCACCTGTCAGGCTGGGAGGCGGGGCTTACAGCCAGGCTGCCGGCTCAGGTAAGCCGCCTTAAAGGGGACAAATAGGACTCCACGTTTAAGAACGATAGAGTAGGGTGATGTATTTGTTAAAACTCAGATCAGGATTCTGTGGCCCAAGGAAGAGTTTTGCCTCCTGATTAGGGATCTGATGAAAGCAAAAAGTCATACAGAGCTAATGATGATAATAGCTGCAGTCATTAAGGGCTTGCTACATGCCAGCTAAACACATTATTACCTTTTAATCTTAGTAACAGTTACTTCAGAGGCTGGTTAGGAAGGAGCCCAGGGTCACACAAGTTGGTGTCAGGTTTAAGTTTAATCCAGGTCTGTCTTGACCATAATTTCTGTAACTCTGAAGATCCCAGGAAAGGAATTGGGTGGCGGATCTGAAAGAAGCCAGTGGAGCCTTCAGCCTAGAGGAGGGAAAGAGAGCAGACGCCCAGAGTTAGTTTGCCTCCCAGGGGCAGGGTTTCCAAGCCAGGGCCCTCATCCTGGCCTTGAACCGCCAGTCTGGGGTTGAAAAGTCTTGGGGAAGGGGATCTGCGGTGAGGTCCCAATCCCAGACCCACCTCGGGGGCGCGGACCCGGAGGCAGCGAGCACTCCCCCGCTCTGATCCCAGTCTTCCCTTCTCCCAAGAGCCAGACCTGGAGGACTGCAGCTTCCGGTGTCGGGGGACCTCCCCCCAGGAGAGTCTGTCTTCCATGTGAGGGAAGGGGCGGCCTGGAGGAGGGGCTGGGGGCAGGAGGGACATCCTGGGGAGGAGGGGCAGAGAGGAGGGCGCGGGCTGGAACCCCTCGGGAGTACGGGGGAAGGGACGGAGGAGCCTGGAGTGGTTGGGTCAGCTGAGCCCAGGTTCCCTCTGGCCACAGGTCCCCCATCAGCAGCCTTCCCGCACTCTTCGACCAGACAGCCTCTGCACCGTGCGGGGGCGGCCAGTTAGATCCGGCGGCCCCAGGGACAACGAACATGGAGCAGCTGCTAGAGAAGCAGGGCGACGGGGAAGCCGGCGTCAACAGTGAGGAGGGGTGGCACCGGTTGGAACGCCTGTCCTAGGGCCCCAAATGTCACCTTTCTCCCCGAGGTCCCCAGGCTTCTTTAAGGTTCCGCCCCTGGGCCCTGCCTCAGCCTTGACTCTCTGCCACCATGGGCCTCACCTCTCATCCCAGCCGGGCCACGCTACCGGCGCTGGCCCGTCTGCGCCCCACCTTTGGCCCTCCTGGCCTCCCGGCTCCGACCTCACTAAACCGCAATTTCCGCCGTTCTTTCCTGCTCCCTGTGGCGTCGACCTCAGCCTCAGGCTTCACCCCCGGTCCTCACACCCGTGGCACCCCAGGCCCCGCCTCTCTTCTCAGAGCTCACCTGTGCTCCTCCTTAGGATGCCGCCTCCTTTTTGAGGGCTGAGCCCTGACTCCCCTCCAGGCTCCGCCTCGGGTCCCCTGGTCCCGCCCCTGCCCCGCCCCTCCTCGCCCCGGCCTCAGGCTCCTCGCTGTCTCCGCAGTCGTGGAGATGCTGAAAGCGCTGCACGCGCTGCAGAAGGAAAACCAGCGGCTGCAAGAGCAGATCCTGAGCCTGACGGCCAAGAAGGAGCGGCTGCAGATTCTCAACGTGCAGCTCTCTGTGCCCTTCCCTGCCCTGCCTGCTGCCCTGCCTGCCGCCAACGGCCCTGTCCCTGGGCCCTATGGCCTGCCTCCCCAAGGTGAGAGGATCCCACCCAGCCCGGGAGAGAGGCCCCTGCCATGCAGTTCGGACTGGCCTTGACTGCAGCCGGTGACATCCCTCCCGCAGCCGGCAGCAGCGACTCCTTGAGCACCAGCAAGAGCCCTCCGGGAAAAAGCAGCCTCGGCCTGGACAACTCGCTGTCCACTTCTTCTGAGGTGGGCACTCCGAGGAGCGGGGCAGAAAGGAGGGGGAAACTCAAGGCTCTTCTGGTCCCATCTCTACCCTGCAGCTATTGGCGGCTGGGCAGTGAAGTGATTGGCTGAGCGATTGATTGATCCATTCATTCCTCCCTTAATCAAGTAATATTTATGAGGTGCCCACTTAGTGCCAGGCTAAGCAATCAGCAAAACTGGCACAGTGCTGCTTCTGAGATAGGCTACCCCAAGCAAAAAAGGAGTCATTACCAACTGGGAGACATGTTCGGGTGGAGAGAAATTGAGGGCTGTGAGAGGGAGGGGAGGACGGGGGAGGGCTGCTTCTGTGGATAGCAAGTGGTTAGGGAGGCCTCTTGGAGAAGTATTTGTGAAGGGTTTATTATAGCGCCTCACGCAAGATAATCCCTGTGCAATTGGTGGTGGCTGGAATAGCAGTTGCTATTGTTGTGTTGTGGTTATTATTGGAATCCAACAAACTGGGTTCTTGTTCTCTCTCTGCCATTTATTAACTGTGTGACTTGGGCAGTAATAATCGTAATAATAACCAGCATTAATTGCACACTTGCCCTTTGTCATGCCCTATGCTGAGATTTTTCAAAGCATTCACTTAGTCTTCATCATAAGCTTATGGAATAGGTACTACTGTTACCCCCCAGCTTATGAACGGGTAAACTAAGATAGGTTGAACCCAGGGTCACCCAAGCCGTTGAATCATGGACATAGGGTTTGAACCTGAGGCTTTCACTTCGGCTGTAGTACTTTTGCCTGCAGAGTCACTTAACCTGTGCAGCATCAACGGTTTTACCCATAAAATGAGAATAGCAAGATGGCACAGGTCAAGCCCTCAGCCCGGGATCTGGTTCGCCAGATGGTCACCACCATCATCATTGTCCATTATTAAATGAGGATGACAGAGGCACTGGGCACCCAGGAGGGGTCAGGAAACATGATTTGTGAAGACAGTTTGGATTCTTAGCTCTCATCCCCGGACCTTGCTTCTTCCAGGGTGCCTGGGGGTGAAGTGGGGGTTGCTGTGCTCTGTGAGAATGCTGGTGGGTGCTGGGCCAGGGGCCAGAAAGCTCATGCTGGCCCCCTGACCCCTCCCTTCCCCTCCCTCCCCAGGACCCACACTCAGGCTGCCCGAGCCGCAGCAGCTCGTCGCTGTCCTTCCACAGCACGCCCCCACCGCTGCCCCTGCTCCAGCAGAGCCCTGCCACTCTGCCCCTGGCCCTGCCTGGGGCCCCTGCCCCACTCCCGCCCCAGCCGCAGAACGGGTTGGGCCGGGCACCAGGGGCAGCGGGGCTGGGGGCCATGCCCATGGCTGAGGGGCTGTTGGGGGGGCTGGCAGGCAGTGGGGGCCTGCCCCTCAATGGGCTCCTTGGGGGGTTGAATGGGGCCGCTGCCCCCAACCCTGCAAGCTTGAGCCAGGCTGGCGGGGCCCCCACGCTGCAGCTGCCAGGCTGTCTCAACAGGTGAGGGAGAGCTCAGCCCTGGGAAAGGGAACAGGGTGGGGGGCTGGCTCTGGTAAGGGGGGGATGCTCCCCACAACACCCACAATCCCTAAAAGGAAAAATGGCCTCTGGTCTCACAGGATATATAATCCTAGTCACCTCTTGGCCTCTAGGGATTCCACAGACTGTTAGACATGAGTGTCCTCTGGACGGTAGCTCCCCGGGGACAAGAGAGTTGTTTACTTCCTGTTCTTTACTCCAGGATTTCCTTCTGGGACAGTTCTTCCAAATCAGACCTGTATCCCTCCCGCTGCACCCTCTGAGCACAGTGCTCTAAGATCGCACATCCCTGCCTTGCTTCCCCGGGGTCTCATGGAGTCTGGGGACTTGGGAGTGGGAGCAGGAGTGTTTCCCTGGCCCTCCACCATGATCTGTTTGTTGTCCCCCCCACCGCATCCCCACCTCAGCCTTACAGAGCAGCAGAGACACCTCTTTCAGCAGCAAGAGCAGCAGCTCCAGCAGCTCCAGCAGCTCCTGGCCTCCCCGCAGCTGACCCCGGTAATGCGCCTCCCTTCCCCGCCTCAGGTGCCCCTTGGTCTGCCTGGAAGGGCTCATCTCAGAGGATCTGGGCCAGCTGGGAGAGGGCAGGAGCAGAGAGAGGGAGGGGAAGCTCCAGGCTGGGCCTGTGGGACTGGGGCTGGGCCCTGTGGGGTGTCCATGGGAGGTAAGGGGATAAGATCATGCCCAGGATTCCCTGGGCATTGAGGAAGGCCTGCTGTAACACCCCAGGTCACATCCTGCTGAGAGACTCTGGAGGCCAGCAAGTCCTTAGTCCTGAGCATTTCAGTCCCAGCCCCAAGGACGTTCAGGGGAAACTCCAGGGTCTAAGTGGCTGCTCAGGTGACACCACTCTCAACCAGAGCAGCTTCTTTGGTTTATCTCATGTCGGGTCGGCTGAAACTACCTTTGGAGAAAAGGAGTTTAACTTTTTTTTTTTTTTTTGAGACTGAGTCTCACTCTTGCCCAGGCTGGAGTGCAATGGCATGATCTTGGCTCATGGCAACCTCCGCCTCCTGGGTTCAAATGATTCTCCTGCCTCAGCCTCCTGAGCAGCTGGGAGTACAGGCACCCGCCACTATGCCTGGCTAATTTTTGTATTTTTTTTTTTATTAGATGCGTTCATCTTACTATAATTTCCTTGAACACATTTAATAATTTTTGTATTTTTAGTAGAGATGGGGTTTTGCCAGATCGGTCAGGCTGGTCTTAAACTCCCGACCTGAGGGCATCTGCCTGCCTTGGCCTCCCAAAGTGCTAGGATTCCAGGCATGAGCCACCATGCTCGGCAAATTGAAAACTATTGACCTAGTCAGTAGTTTTGGCGAAACCCCGTCTCTACTAAAAATACAAAAATTAGATGTGGGGTGGCAGGATCCTGTAAACCAGCTACTTGGGAGGCTGAGGCATGAGAATTGCTTGAGCCTGGGAGGTGGAGGTTGCAGTCAGCCAAGATCGCACCACTGTACTCCAGCCTGGGTGACAGAGCAAGACTCAGTCTCAAAAAAAGAAAACTATTAGCCTATTGTTTTTCAACTTGGGGGTGTCTGTGGTTGTCTTGGCAGCTGAGGGGTGAATTAGTGGGCAGGGCCAGAAGTGTTAAATACCCTGCTCTTGGCGGGCAGTGCCCCAGCTGGCAAACACCAATGGCGTGCAACCGTTTTCTCGTCTAGATGGGGAGACCGAGGCTGAGTACCTTGACTGTCTTAGAGGCCTCTTGGCTCCTGGTTCCAGTGTGATGGGGTGGGGGCCCGGCCAAGCAGGGCAGGCAGCAGCAGGGAAGAGACCCCTGGGACTGTTGCCCAACAAGCAGTCTGGCCCCCTTGCAGGAACACCAGACTGTTGTCTACCAGATGATCCAGCAGATCCAGCAGAAACGGGAGCTGCAGCGCCTGCAGATGGCCGGGGGCTCCCAGCTGCCCATGGCCAGCCTGCTGGCAGGAAGCTCCACCCCACTGCTGTCTGCAGGCACCCCTGGCCTGCTGCCCACGGCGTCTGCTCCACCCCTGCTGCCCGCCGGAGCCCTAGTGGCTCCCTCACTTGGCAACAACACAAGTCTCATGGCCGCAGCAGCTGCAGCTGCAGCAGTAGCAGCAGCAGGCGGACCTCCAGTCCTCACTGCCCAGACCAATCCCTTCCTCAGCCTGTCGGGGGCAGATGGCAGTGGTGGTGGCCCCAAAGGAGGGGTGAGTAAGGGGCCCGGGGCCTTCTTGTCTCCCCTCTGAGGGCTAGGCAGAGATGGATGGTCAGAAGGCTTATCATCAGGTGCCTCAGCAGGGGGAAAGAAACAATCGCTAGGTCCGCGAAGTGCCCTGCCTCAGAACCCAGGGCCTCTCCTGGCCCATGGGTGCCCTCCTGCAGAGTCAAGAAAGATCCAGTCTAAGCATGGGCTAAGAGGAAAAGGACCAATTAGAAAACAGCCTTCCTCTGGGAGGACCAGTTTGAAAAGGCCATTTTGTTTCTGAGCAGACCAATTAGAAAATGATGACCCTCTGGGTAGGCCAATGTCAGAAAGGCCCTCCCTCCTCCTCCTGAGGGCACAAGCCTTGACTGGCACATTCCCATGCAACCTGGCGCTCCTCTGCAGGGGGGTTTTCACAGCCCTGCGTGTCGGCCCTTGTGCGCACTCCTCAGAGCCCAGGCCAGAGGCTTCCACTGGCCCCGGCTTCAGCACCCCATGGCAGCTTTCTTGGCCCAGGAAGCTGTTCTCATCTGGGGGTTAGACCTGACACTTCCCACACGCCCAGCCTCCCTCCCTCTCTTTCCAGACCGCTGACAAAGGAGCCTCAGCCAACCAGGAAAAAGGCTAAATCCACCCTCACCCCTCCTGACCCCCTAAGTGGAGGGAGCAGATCCTGGCCTGAGGGGTCCGACCCTGGAGCAGGCGCCTGCGCCCAGACCCTGGAGAGCCCCGACCCAGTGCTGAGGTCCAGGGAGTGTGGGGAGCTCCTGGTGCCGAGGACTGAGACTGGAGGGGAGCCCCTTCCATCTGGCCCCCTTCCCTTTCTGCACTGTCTGCTTTGCGAGGCTCAGAGGAAGGACAGGCCGCAAGCCCACCTAGGAGCTCCACCCCCAGCAGATGTTTTGGGGGTCCCTGAGAGCAAAGTGGGCCATAGCAGAAGTAGGGGCTCGTTGGACCTGTCACATGAAATGGATCAGCACTTGAATGGGGAGAAGTAGAGCGAGAGGCCCTGGGCCTGTCCCCGAGGGGAAATCTTTTACGGAAGAAGGGCTGGACCCACTTTACCTGCAGTTTCTTCCCAGCTCGGGCAGATGGCAGAAGGGACCCCTTGGACTTTTTCTTGCCATCCCTCCCTCCCAGCGCAGGGGGCACAAGCTGAGCTTGTAAAAGCCCACGGATGGCGGGGGCTGGAGAAGGGGCAGGACAGCATCACACTCAGCCCTCAACCTCTTGGGGCCCAGCTGATGAGGAGGAGAGGGCAGGTGCGGGGAGGCACCGCCTTGCTTGGTGCCCCGCCCTTTGTTTGCACTATTGGACTTAGGAGTGCCGAGGGTGGGGAGATGGAGCTGCCTGACTCAGTGTGTGAGTGTGTGTGAGAGAGAGAGAGTGTGTGTGTGTGTGTGTGTGTCTGTGTGTCTGCCTGCCTGCCTGCCTGCTTGCTTGCCTGCCTCTCTCCCCCTGGACCCGGGGCAGCCAAGAGCAGGGATAGGTGCAGTGGTCGGTGAAGCAGCTCCAGAGAGGGGAGCTCCCAGCTCTTACTTGCACGCTCCGCACCTCACCAACTTTGGTCCCTCTCTGGGGCATGAATGCTTAACGAAAACCAGAGCAGTATTGCGATATTGGAGAGTCCCTGGGGGCTTGGGGCTTTGAATCAGGGTAATATCCTGCCTTCCCTCCCCTGACCCCACATGGTCTCAGGGTCCCCTTGGGGCCCCCTACCCCACTGATAGCTTGGTCCTTCTTCCCTGGCACAAGGGGAGCCCCAGGGCTTGGGGGAGGAGGTAAGGGGGGAAAACGTCACTGCTTTTAGCAAAAGCCTCCCTCCCAGAATTAGCCAGCCTGCCTCCTGCACCCCACCCCCACCAACCAGGGGAGCCAGTAAGCTGAGCTAACACCTGTCCCTCACCCACCAGCTATTTCCCAGGGTGTCGTGGGCACTTCTCACCTTCAAAGAGTCTCCGCCTGCCCTGGCCTTTGGCACAGGCCGAGTGGACAGTCAGGAGAGGCGAGGCAAGGCGAGGCCTGTGTCCTGTTTCGGTTGCACTGGGGTTGGAGCCCGGGGTAGGCGCTTCCCGCTTCCTCAGGCTCCTGCCTTGTCAGGCTCTTTGCATGTGTGGATTTTTCTGTGTTTCTGTTTGGGTTTTTGTTGTTGAGTTCTTGTTTTTTTTTTTTTTTTTTTTTTTTTTTTTTTCTTTTTTAATAAAAGAAGATGTGTATATTTTTGGCAATGACAGAAACGTAGTGCAGATATATTTTTGCCTGTGCTGCTCAACTGTTTTTTTTTTTTTTCCGATACTGAAAATAATATTAATATTCCTGTTGATAAGACTTTGTAAGATGTTAGGGAGCTGATAACGGAGGGGGTGGGAATCCTTCAGAGGCAATTTCTTAGGCACTTGCAAAGGGCTTGGGGGAGGGGGAGGCAGTTGTGATGACCTCAGAAATACTTTCTATTAATGCTAAATATGTTAGAAAGAAATGATAGAATTCAGCATTTTATTCATTTTAATCTATTAAGCTCTGTAACTCCCTGCCCCAAACCACTGAAAAGAAAAGTAAACCAGGCTGGGCGCGGTGGCTCACGCCTGTAATCCCAGCACTTTGGGAGGCTGAGGTGGGTGGATCACCTGAGGTCAGGAGTTCGAGACCATCCTGGCCAACATGGTGAAACCTCATCTCTACTAAAAATACAAAAATTAGCCAGGTGTGATGATGCACGCCTGTAATCCCAGCTATTCGGGAGGCTGAGGCACGAGAATTGCTTGAACCTGGGAGGCGGAAGTTGCAGTGAGCCGAGATTGTGCCACTGTACTCCAGCCTGGGCAACAGAGTGAGATTCTGTCTCAAAAAAAAAAAAAGAAAAGAAAAGAAAAGAAAAGTAACTTTCATAGATTCTTAGAAAAGTTGCTCTTTCACACCCACACCCTTGCCCAAGTCTGGCCCACTTAGAGCAAGACTTAACTTCTCTCTGAATGGGAACGGAAGGGAAGTACATCTGCTCCAAGGTTGCGGTGTTGAAGAGTGAGAGGTCCAAGTGATTCTGTGCATCGAAACCAAGACCCCCCACCCCCGCTCAGAACAGTTCTTCCCTCCATCAACCCAACCCAAAGCCTGGGGTTCTTGGCCCCAAGTGTCTGTTCTCCAGCTTTCCCAAGCCGCTTGCATTCCCCAGGCTGGGCTACTGTGGCGGGTCAGGTAGATTTGGAGACGGCCTAAGCTGGGTATGAATTGGTACGGCCCTCTTCTCCTTTCCACCAGTCTCTCAGGAGAGAAGTGGTATTTCCTTATTCTGAGGGAGCTTCAATGGGAAAGGTCTCAAAAGCTTCAGGAGAGGCAGGATGCCAGTGCAGGGGCATGGCAGTAACCACCTCACCATCTTGTAACCTCAGTCCCTTTTTCAAGAGTGAATTTGGATGGGGGAAGGGGTGGGAAGAGACCCAGATTTGTAGATCTATTTGTCTAGGGGAGGGGAAGGATGTGGTTTGCAGAGCGGAAGCAGAGTTTGAAAACGCATGAGAGTGGAGTGTTCCCACCCTCGGCGAGGATGTGTGAGTGCGGAGCATGCAGAGTCGGGTGTTCCCACCCTCGGCGAGGACGTGTGAGTGGGTGTACATATGGAGCCAGTGCCTGCTGTGGGGTCACAACTAGTGCATGATAGCACTGAAGGGACCTGTCTTTAGGGATCATTTCAGCCAGCTCTTCCCATCATAGATGACAGCTCCAAGCCTAGAAGAGGCAGGGGGCTCAGTGGCAGGGCCAGGACCAGCCCTCAGGTCTGTGGCCTCCTGCCCCACGGCACGGTCTCCACAGGGCTGGCTGGCTGTCCCTGTGTGTGTGACACTGGGTGTGAGTGCAGGGCTGTGCCCGGGTGGGAGGGTGTCTGTGTGGCCCTGACTGTTTTAGTTCAGAGCTGGTGGATCCTTTCCATGGACAGTGACACTTTAAGGATTGTCTGGGTTTGTTTTTCCTATTTGTGGGTTTTTCCCCCTCAGGCTCCTGGGTCTGTTGCTGCCTCACGGTGTCCTGACCTTGAGGCTGATGAGGGGACCCCTGCCCACTCCCTTCATACTGAGTTCTAGGGAGGTGCTTGCCCTAGACTCTTAGGAAGGGTCTAGCAGAGAAATGAGAGGAGCCCAAGCCAGGGGCTAGCTCCGAGAAAGGGCAAGCTTTTTTCCCTAATTGGAAATGCAGACAGGTTTCCAAAGGCACAGGCGCCCCTGCCAGCTCCTAGCATCTTCCTTGGTGTGCCACAGGCCAGTTAGGGGTAGGCAGCTTGCACCCAGTTCCCTTTTATCTCAACTTATTTTCCTGGGGAGAGGTGCCTAGGAGGGGGGTCACTTCAACTGGGAATTCTGAGGAAGGCGGGCGAAGTGGCCTAGCTAGGCTCGCTGTCTGTGTTGACGCAGATTGAGAGTGTGATTCGCTCCCAACCACTTTGTCTTGATCTACTGAAAACTTGGGAACTGAGGGGTACCCTCATTCCCCTTTGTTCACTTTGTCCAGCTCCACTGGGGACTTGGGTGGTGGGACTGGAGGCCCCACCCCTGCCCCCGCCCCGCCCCGCCCTCTTTCCGTCCCAGCCTGTTTCCATGTAGCAGACCCTTCCTAGGGAGCAGGGAGGGGAAGCCACAGATTGCAAACCCAGGGGCTCCTTTTTCATTCTTTCTAAAACCTTGATATCCTCAGCCCAAAGGCGATGCCCCCCTGCCACCTCCAAGCCTGGAATTGTGCATAACCCGGATCTTGTATCTTTGTATAACGGATGTTATTTGTACGAAGGGCAGTTCGTAAACAGCACTTGTTCTTTTAATAAAAGAATGTTTTGCAAAAAAAAAAAAAAAAAAAAAAAAAAAAATCCAAAGAGCCCCTGTGTGGTCTGGCTTTATGGAAGGGGACAGGAGGTGGGTGCCAGCTGAGGGAGGGTGGGAGGCCGTGGGCTGCGACCTTTCTGTTGGCAGTCATAGAGGCAGTACGTGCACAGACGCGAACGCTCAGCGCGCCGGGGCCCGCCCCACACGGTGCATCCGTCCGTGGGCCCCGGCCCGAGGTGACGCCACGCCCGCGCGCTCGCCCACAAGCGCGGCCGAGACTCGGCCAGGGATAGCAGCTCCCGGGAAGGTCCTGGCGCTCGAGGGGTGGCCCAGGCGCCAAGGCTGCGCGCCGGGCGTTCCGTGGCCAGGCCCGCCCGGCAGGGGGCGCTGGGACCGACCGCTCAAGCCCGGGCTTCCGGACCCGCCGGCCCCTGGCCTCCGCCCTCGTAGAACCCCGCGGCGTCTTCCGGAGCCTGACTGGCCGGGGACAGAGGGGGCGGGGAGCTGACCTGGCGTGGGCGAAGCCGGCCGGCGGGCGGGCGCTGGAGCCATCTATGCGTGGCGTGGGGGCGATCCTGCGGCGCGCGGCGCGCGACGCTCGGGTGAGCATCCCCGGCCCCCGCCCGGAACTCCACCCAGGCCTCCACCCGGGCCCCTGCCAGTCCGCACTCGGGCCCCTGCCAGTCCGCACTCGGGCCCCTGCCAGTCCGCACTCCAGCCCCGATCCTGGCCAAGCGCCCCCGAGCCCCCGGCCCGGCCCGCCGGTGCCTGGCTGGCCTCAGCTCACGGGCTTTTCCGAAGCGCCCGTGGCTGCCAGGACCCCCCCAGCCAGCACCTTCTCTTGGGACCCCTTTTTCTTACCCTCTCGTTTCTCCCTCGCCCCTTTAGCCCTGTCACCTCCCTCTCGGATCCTTCCGCCTCCTTACCTTTCCACTAATTTTATTTTTCTGTTTCCAAACCACCGTCTCGTGATGCTTGCGTACCTTGCAGGACCTGAACACGCGGCGGGACGTCTCCTCCTGGCTGGTAAGTACCCCCAGCCTTCCCTCCTCCTCGCGCAAGACCTCCAGGCACGGAGATCTCCAGGCAGAGATCAGGGAATGGAGCTAGGAAGGGTACGGCCCTATTCCCCCAAACTCCAGGCACCTGGAGTTAGCCCGTGGCTCTCGGGGAGGTGAGGGGGGAGCACGGGGCGCCAATCTGCTGTGCTGAGGACAGCAGCACCTGATGAACCAAGCCCCAGTGTGGGTGGCCCTGCCGTAGGCTGGCCGGATCGAGGCCTGCCCGCCCTAGCACCAAGTGGAGGCACCAGAGTCTGAGGGCAGGCAGCTGGACCTTGAAACCTGAGTGCCTGAAACCTGGCTTTGAAATCGCTTCCCTATCCAAAGCTCACGGTCCTCATGGTGTCCAGGGGAAAGGTCTCGCTGGGTGGAGTCAGATCAGCCTCCGGTGAAGGAAACCTGCCACCCACAAAGGCCAGTGGGAAACCGGGAAGGGTTGCAGGCAGGAAGATGCTTCCAGGGCTTGAGCTAACCCTGAGCCCATGATCTTCCCTGGTCACAGGCCCGGTGGTTCCCCAGAACCCCAGCCAGGTCCGTGGTGGCCCTGAAGACACCCATCAAGGTGGAGCTGGTAGCAGGGAAAACCTACAGATGGTGTGTGTGTGGCCGCAGCAAGAAGCAGGTGAGACCCCCTGCCTGCCTTCCTACTAATACTCCTGGCTGGGAGTTCCCACCCAGGATGGTCTTATTCTTCCCACGAGTACCTGAGAGACACCAAGGAGGCTTGGGGACAAAAGGCCAGTGCCCCCCGTAGCCTTAAGCTGACTGCATCTACCCCTTGCAGTGAAGCCAGAGAGACTCGGTTGCACGGCCAGCCAGGTGCAGCCGGGCTTCCGGTGGGCTCTTCTGGGGGCTCTTTGCTTCTTGGAGGTGCACTGCGTGGTGGAGCTCACGAGGCTGTCTCCCGTCTCCTCCGTTCTTCCAGGAAGTACCTGGGCCATAGGTTCCCAGGCCTTGAACCCTGACATTGGGAAGGGATTCTGCCCAGGGTCTCCTGCCTCCCAAGCTTCCCAGTCTTCCCCCATGCCCCTCCACTCTTCTTCCAGAAAACTCATCCTTCTCAGTTTGTGGGACTTCCTGGCCGCCTGTCACAGCTTGCTGTCTTCCCAGCTTCGCTGCCTGCCCCCACCTGCTTCCCCTTCTGCCCAGGAGCCTTTCGTCCCAGCAGGAACAGGCCCGTATTGTTTGCCTCCCTGGCCCCTTTCCTTCCTGAGAGAGCTCGGACCTGTGTTCCTTCAAGCTATGTGGCATGGGGTCAGCAGCCCAGGGTCCTGGGTCCCACTTAGGTCTACACACCTCTGCCTCAAGCCCTCCAAGACAAGCCACTGCTTTCTGTTTGCACACTTCTGTCCCCTCTCCTCCCATCCCACCCTGACTCCAATGTCAATAGGCCTCAGTTCAGCTAGGCAAGGTGGCTCACACCTGTTATCCCAGCACTTTGGGAGGCCAAGGCAGGAGGATCTTTCCAGCCCGGGAGTTCAAGAACAGCCTGGGCAACAGAGTTGAAACTTCATTTCTATAAATGCCTCTACCCCCACCAAAAAATAGCATGGCAGTGCACCTGTGTTCCCAGCCACACTGGAGGCTGAAGAAGGAGGACTGCTTGAGCCTGGAAGGTTGAGGCTGCAGTGAGCTGTGTTTGCACCACTGCACTCCAGCCTGGGCAACAGAGCAAGATCCTTTCAAAAAAAAAAAGGCATTGGCACCAGTTCTGCCTCTAACTAGTAAGGCATGTCATCTCTCTGGGCCTGTTTCCATTACCCAGTCTCTGCTTGAGGGGCTTCTGGGATGGGGAGTGCACTCTGGTGCCAGGCAGCCAGTTTGCTATGGGGCATCCCCTCCTCCCTGTAACCTTCACTCCCTGTCACATGCCCAGTTGTTCCATGGAGCTGACAAGGAGACTCAGAGCCATTCACACACACACACCGCCCCCCCCCCCCCATTAGTGTCCTGGCCCTCTGGTTGCCCCAGACACTAATGCTGTAAACACTGTGTACATACTTACCAGATACTACATGCAAAACGCACCATGATCATTGTTTTGTTTCGTCATCCAACTCAGCTCTTATCACCCCACATTAAAGAGCAGAGGTCACTCAGCGGGCCCTGGCAGTGTTGCTCTGGAGCCTGCACCCTAACCACCGTGCCCACTCCCCCTGAGCTCCCGCAGCCCACCCCGCCCCAGCAGGTGGGGTCAGGTCTTTGACTCCCATCTTTCACCCACCAGCCCTTCTGTGACGGCTCCCACTTCTTCCAGCGCACTGGCCTATCTCCACTCAAGTTCAAGGCCCAAGAGACGCGCACTGTGGCACTCTGTACCTGCAAGGCCACCCAGAGGCCCCCGTACTGCGATGGCACCCACAGGAGTGAGCGTGTGCAGAAGGCAGAGGTGGGCTCCCCACTCTGAAGGGGCTGTCCAGTCACAGGTGGGCTCGGCTCCAGGCCTGTGACAGGCACCCCTTCTCTGGGGAAGGAAACGGGTGCTGAACCCAAGACCTGGTACCCATGTCTGGCTCACAAAGGAAGAACTGTTCCTTATAATGTAAAGGTCTCCAGTCTGGGGTTGGCGGGAGTGTGCCCTGGGTCAGTGTTTGCTGACAGAGAAGATGGTATAAAGAAGCCTGCCCAATCAGACTGGTCCTGTGGTCACTGGTGTGAGGCTCACGTGCTGCTTCCTGCTCCAGATTTTCACCTGTGTGTGGCTGGGGGCACCTGAGCAGCCACAGGAGAGGGCAGTTCAGATTCATTCCATATGGGGTCCCCAAGCCAGGCTGAACCCAGAGGCAAAGCACCCTTCCCGTCTTCCCCAAAAGAACTACAGGCTCCAGAAAGTATGCAGCATTTATTACAAAGCCAAGAGATACAGATGTCCCAGGGCAGAGGAGGGCACAGTCACAGGACCTCAGACACAGGACAAGGCGCAAACACAGACAAGCCCACTGGGGGCTCCCAACCCCACACACCTAGGCTGGGATGGAATCTCAAGTCTCGACTCCTGCTGCCTCCCAGATCTCTGCACACTTGAGGAACTCTCAGTGGGCAGGACCTGCCGGGTCTGTCCCTAGGGAGGTGGTCCGCTGACCTCTGGGGCTGGGGCTGGGGCCAGAGCTTTACAGGTTTCTGTTTTCTTGTGCTTTTAGACACACTTGCTCTGTCCTGACCAGGCGACTGGGCCTCAGCTGGGGGTGGAGGGGCCGCTGGAGGGCTGTGTGCCTTTAGCAAAGTCTGGGGTCTGTGCTTGTGTGAGGTTAACCTATCCCCACCTCCACTCCATGCCCCAAATGAGACTCCACCACCAGTCCTGCTAGTGAGGGGTCCTGGGTGAGGGCAGGGACGGTGAGGGTGAAGCACTTCACAATGCTTAACGCCACAGTGGCATTCCAGGGCAGAGACCTCTCAGGGCCTGAATCTTCTTTTCCACAAGATAAATGATGCAAAGGCCACACACACAGGAGAGAAAAAAAAGAGGCAGAACTAGCTATTCTTTGCACAAAGTTTCCACTGCAAGAGGAGGAGGTGAGGGAGGCGCCACCCCGACCCCGCCCTTGCTCCTCAGACCCAGGGATAAACTGCGTTTGTAAAAGGCACTGTTCTTAGCAATTTTCTGGACATTCAACAATGCAGGGGGCAGCCACTGGTCAGAGGCAGGACAGCAGCCAAGATGGGGAGAGAAATGGGGAGAGAGGAACAGTTCTAACTGGCTCCTATTGACAGTTAGAATTGTGCCTAAAGCTTTGGGGCTGAAGGGGCCCCCAACACCCCATCTGCCTTGGGAACAGTGAGGACAGCGCAGAGCCTGACTGGGCCTCCAGTGGCCCGTCCAGTTCATCTCCAGGCACCCCCAAAAAGAGCAGAGCAAATTACACAAGACCCCCCCCCCCAAAATGAACACCATTCCCCACACATACACACACACATAAAGTTTGTTTCCTGTGGCATTTAAATTAATCTGATTGGTCCATAGAAAATAAGTATGTATATTTGGTTTTTCCTATGTACATATATATATAGATTTATTTATAAAACCCGTCCCCCACCCCCAAGGTGGGAGGAGCTGGGGAAAGTAGAAGAGGTGGAAAAAAGGGCCCAGAAAAAGTGGAGGGAGTGGAGAGGCTTGGCTGGAAGGAGGGAGAGAGGGTCCCTGGCCTCAAGTTAAGGGGGGCACGGGAGCGCCGTTGACAGTCATCTTGCGCCCCCTGCTGGTGGAGGATGGTGTCTGCAGGCAGTTCGAGGTACCCCCGTTGGCAGCTGTGGTGGCCCCACTGGCTGCAGAAGGGGGAGTGGGGGAAGTAGGGTGGGTGGCTGGAGGCCCATGGGAGCTGGGAGAGCCATGGGATGGGGTGGCTGGGCTGGGCAGGGAGGAGGAGGTGGCTGGTAGGGTGGCAGGGCTGGGAGCCTTGTCGCTGACCGACTCACACTCGGACGCCCCACTGGTGTTGGTGCCCTCGGAAGGGGTGGGCACCGTGGCTAGGGTGAGCCGCTTGCAGGCCGGCTGGACACGGTACTTGAGGGGGAGAGGCCCATTCTGTGGGAGGAGGGAGGAAAAAAGGCAGGGAAGGGGACGGTGTCAGGAGAGGCCAACTAGAAGGCCACCAGCTCCACCCCACAGTGTCCAAACAAGAAAAAAGGGACAGGACAGGACCTCAGAGAAGAGAGAGACAAGGACACAGGGCACAACCCAGAGAGGCAAAAGGTCTACGAGGAGAGACTCGGACAGAGAGGAGAGAGGGAGGCCAAAACATGGCAGCCACCAGCACCTGTGTATGCCCCTAAATCAGGGGACACCATCTGCCCAAGGAGTCTTGTCTCCTGAGCGGAAAGTCCTCACAAGAGACGGCCCCGAGGCTGACCTGCTGTGGCAAGCCACCGTGGACACACAGCTCATGGGACAAGGGACGGACTGCCTCCAGTTAAGAGGAGGGCAGCCCACGTGGCCACAGACAAGGCCAGACCCTGCGGGGACCTGCTCCCTGCCGGCCCCACCCGCTCGCTCACCCGCCGCCAGGGGTAGATGTAGGCGATGTCCATAAGGGTGTAGTATTCCTTCAGTGGCTCGTCCTCATACAGAACCTCCACCTGGAGGAGGGAAGTGGAGGACACCATGACCCTGGCCAGGCTTGGGGCTCCAGGCTGGAAATGGGACTGGGAGTTGAGGCCATGGGAAGGGTGGATTTGCAGATGGTCCTTCATTCCTTGGGGGTTTCACTGTGGATCTGACTTCCCTGTGGATCTAACTCCTGACCACCAGGTAGGAAGGGGTCCAGAGACCAGTTCCTTCTTGGTAGCAGGCCAGCCCCACCATGCACACAGCTGTCTGGGTCTCCTATCTCTGGCAGGTCTCCCAGAGGAGCTGAAAGGGCTCAGGGGGATCTTCTGGAACTCTGTCTCTCACCCCCAGCTACAAAATGGAACCACCCAGGGAGCTTTAAAAAGCACCAATGCAGGTCGGGCGCGGTGGCTCAAGCCTGTAATCCCAGCACTTTGGGAGGCCGAGGCGGGCGGATCACGAGGTCAAGAGATCGAGACCATCCTGGCCAACATGGTGAAACCCCGTCTCTACTAAAAATAAAAAAATTAGCTGGGCGTGGTGGCATGCGCCTGTAGTCCCAGCTACTTGGGAGGCTGAGGTGGAAGAATTGCCTGAACCCTGGAGGCCGAGGTTGCAGTGAGCCGAGATTGTTGCCAGGCACCAAGCTGGAGTGCAGTGGCACAGAGTGAGACTCTGTCTCAAAAAAAAAAAAAAAAAAAAAAAAAAAAACCACCAATGCAGCCCGGCACAGTGGCTCACGCCTGTAATGCACTTTGGGAGGCCAAGGTGGGCGGATCACCTAAGGTCAGGAGTTCAAGACCAGCCTGACCAACATGGAGAAACCCTGTCTCTACTAAAAATACAAAAAAGGCCAGGCGCGGTGGCTCAAGCCTGTAATCCCAGCACTTTGGGAGGCCGAGGCGGGTGGATCACAAGGTCGAGAGATCGAGACCAACCTGGTCAACATGGTGAAACCCCGTCTCTACTAAAAATACAAAAAATTAGCTGGGTATGGTGGCGCGTGCCTGTAATCCCAGCTACTCAGGAGGCTGAGGCAGGAGAATTGCCTGAACCCAGGAGGCGGAGGTTGCGGTGAGCCGAGATCGCGCGATTGCACTCCAGCCTGGGTAACAAGAGCGAAACTCCGTCTCAAAAAAAAAAAAAAACACACACACACACACACACACACACAATAAATAAAAAAAAAAAAAAATTAGCCAGGCATGGTGGTGCACGCCTGTAATCCCAGCTACTTGGGAAACTGAGGCAGGAGAATCATTTGAACCCAGGAGGCGCGGTTACGGCGATTGCACCATTGCACTCTGCAGCCTGGGCAACAAGAGCAAAACTTCATCTCAAAAAGAAAAAACAAACAAAAAACACACCAATGCCTGGCTGGGTATGGTGGCTCACGCCTGTAATCCCCGGGCTTTGGGAGGCCAAGGTGGGTGGATCGCCTGAGATCAGGAGTTTGAGACCAGCCTGGCCAACATGGTGAAACCTCATCTCTACTGAAAATATAAAAATCAGCCTGGTATGGTGGCGCATGCTTATGATCCCAGCTACTCGGGCAGCTGAGGCATGAGAATCGCCTGAATATGAGAGGCAGGGGTTGCAGTGAGCAGAGACTGCAAAACTCCTGCCTAGGCGACAGAGCGAGATTCCATCTGGAGGAAAAAAAAAAGAAATATGGTATCTAGGGCTGGGAGTGGTGGCTCACACCTGTAATCCCAGCACTTTGGGAAGCTAAGCCGGGCAAATCACCTGAGGTTTGGAGTTCGAGACCAGCCCGGTCAAATGGTGAAACCCTGTCTCTACTAAAAATACAAAAATTAGCTAAGTGTGGTGTTGCACATCTCCAATCCCAGCTACTTGGGAGGCTGAGGCAGGAGAATCGCTAGAACCCGGGAGGCGGAGGTTGCAGTGAGCCGAGATTACTTTACTGCACTCCAGCCTGATGATAGCAAGAAAAAGAAAAGAAAAATGGAATCTACTAAAAGAAAAAAGAAAAAGAAATATGGAATCTACTAAATCAGAATCTGCATTTTAACAAGATCTCCAGGGTACACACAGACATTCAAGCTTGAAAAGCCATGTTCTAGAGCTCCACTGGAATTCAGACTAGCCTCCCCACAGACAACTGGCCCCAGGCGAGGCCCGGTGTTCCACACTCACCCCTGCCACAGTTCCAGTGTGCAAGCACGCACACATACACGCCACCTTGGTCCCATGCACCACTGCACACGGAGGCTGCCCCCACCCTAATCTTGGTTTCAACCACCCTTCTATTAACACGTGGGCTCAGTTAGCCAGGCAAGCCCTGGGTGACACCTAGCCAGCCCTGAACAACAACTGGGGTGCACAGACTGTCAGACACACCCATACACAGATACTCATTTTTTGAAAGGCCCAGGGACCCACCTTGTACTTGCTGGGCACATCCATCTTGTTGCGGAGAAACTTGGCGAGGTGCATGACGGTCATGGCTGCCGGGCACCGCAGGAAGCGCACCCCTGTCTGCTGGGGCACAGGCACCCATGGTATGGGGTCCAGCCCAGGCCACTCCCTCCCAGCCCACATTCCAGTCCTGGGCAGGCCCCAGCACTCACTTTCTCTTTGTCCCCATCCCCATTCTCCAGGGGGCCCTTCTTCTCATCCCGGTCCCTGGGGGCGGAGAAAGAACAAAGCTAGGAAGACCCAGGAGGAGGATCCCTCAATGCGCCCATCCAGAGGCCCCTGGGTGGGAGAAGGGGTGACCCAGCCTAGGAGCCCAAAAGGGGTCAGCCTGGGCCAGACTTGCCTGGCACCTTCGTAGAACTCAATGGAGAGGCTGACAATCTCATCATCGCTCAGCGCCCCCTTCTCCTGCTCCAAGACCTCGCCTCGGTCCTCATTGGAGCCGTTGGGGACTGCAGAAGGACAGAAATCTCAGGCAGGCGGAGGATGGAGGAAGGGAGCCCGCCAAGGACCCAGGGATCATGAACTCAGCCGGTGAGCCCGGCCACCGGGGGAGGCGGGCGTGGAGGAGGTCAGAGGGTGAGTGGTGGTAGCACTACACACCTGCGTGGTCCCAGGCATGCCTGCGCACACACAGATGGACGCGAGCACACTCACCCTCCGTCAGGGGGTACGCCGCATAGAAGTCCCGCCGTCGTTTCATCTCATCTGGAAGAAGGCAGCAGGATGAGGACAGGGCCATGGGTTGGGAAATGGGGTCGGTGGGCGGACGAGGAATGGTGTGCAGATACCTTTAAAAAGCCCAGGGACCAATTTGTAGACAATGTCTTGGAGGGTTTTGTCAGACCTGGGGAAAAACGGACAGGGCTTATCAGCCATGCGCTCTCCAGAGAACTCCTCTGATCTCACCCTGCTCTCCCAGCCAGGGGACCCCTCTTCCCAACCCCTTCCTGAGACCCGGTGCCCAGGCATTGGGGTCCCTGTGGATCTGGTCTTTGCCGCTCTAGTATGTCAGCCTGTGACAAGCCAGATGCGACCCCAAGGGAAGGAAGTGGCCCAGGTCCACCCCTCGTGCTTCTCCCACACCTGCTGCCTTGATGAAGGAAGCCTGGAGGGCGGGAGGGATAGGGAAGGCTGACCCAGGGGGTCGTGCGGGCAGGAGGTGCGGGCCATGCCCACCTGATGCTCAGCAGTGGCCGGGTCTTATGCACCTGCACATCACACATGGGGCAGTATTTGTTGGTCTCCAGGTAGCGCACAATGCAGGTTTTGCAGACTTGGGGGTGTGGAGAGAGAGAGAGAGGAGTCAGCCGCCTTCCAACCCCCGGACCAGTTTCCCTGCCCTCTGCTCAGACCCAGCTGTCCTTTCTCCTCCACCTGTCCCTGCAGGGGACAACGTGGCAATGTGTTTTGCACGTGCGGCACCTGTCCCTGTGCATCGTGGAGGGAAGCTGGACAGGCCAGTGGTGTCATGTACAATGCAGAAGGGCAGCCTGAGTTCCCAGGCCCCCCCGATGGAGGAGAAGACGAGAGCCAGCCTGTTAGAGGTGCCCCTGGGTCTCACCCGCCTGTCGCCAAGCCCACAGTGCAAACAGGGGGTGCCTGCATAAAATTTCAGCCATTTCAAGAAAGAACTGAGATGTCAGAGGCAGTGAACTTCTGGGCTGACACCCTGCGCCTGGTCACCCCTGCCAGGTAGGCCCCTGTACCTGAGGATTCCTGGCAGACACCTGGATGAGTTTGCTCTTCAGGGCAAGGTCTTTAGTGCTACCTTCCTCAGGCCGTGCCCACCCCCAATCTGGGCACAGAGGCTGCCCACCCTGAGCAGCTCCCCTCCCGCCAACTCACAGGAATGCAGGCACTCCACGATAGTGGTGGCGTCGATGAAGTACCCCCCGCAGAGGGCACACATGAGGTGGGGATTCAGCTCCGTGATTTTGATCCGTGTAGTCCGATGCATGATTCCGGGGTCGGGGGTGGGGGGACTGGGGATCGTGGCCCTGGGAAACGGAAGTAGAATCAGAAACTCAGAGCTTTGGCAGCCCCTCCCACTCGTCATCCACACCTTCCAGCCCATCTCTCCCTGAGCCCAAGGCCCTTCTCTGCCTTCAGGGTGGGGCTGGGGCTGGTGCCCTACATGTGGCTGGTTCTTTCTGGCTCCCTATGAGTGTTCTTTAGGTTCTGGGCTCTGGAGATTCACACAACCTTGAGCAACAAGGTCAGCTCTCTCTGAGGAGCAGGAGGAAAGACTGAAGTTAGGCCACGGTACGTACCGCCCAACTCCCCAGAGAACGTAATGAGGCAGGAAAATAGGAGAGAAGAGGACTTTTAAAACTCTCCAGGCCGGGCGCGGTGGCTCACGCCTGTAATCCCAGCACTGTGGGAGGCCGGGGTAGGCGGATCACGAGGTCAAGAGATCAAGACCATCCTGGCCAACATGGTGAAACCCCATCTCTACTAAAAAATACAAAACTTAGCTGGGCATGGTGGTGCACGCCTGTTGTCCCAGCTAGTCCCAGGCTGAGGCAGGAGAATCGCTTGAACCTGGGAAGCGGAGGTTGCAGTGAGCTGAGATCGCACCACTGCACTCCAGCCTGGCGCCTGGCAACAGAACAAGACTCTGTCTTAAAAAAAAAAACAACTCTCCAGTCAGCCAGGTGCAGTGGCTCATGCCTGTAATCTCAACACTTTGGGAGGCCAAGGTGGGCAGATCACCTGGGGTCCAGAGTTCGAGACCAGCCTGACCAGCATGGAGAAACCCCATCTCTACTAAAAATACAAAAAATCAGCCAGGTGGTGGTGCGTGCCTGTAATCCCAGCTACTCAGAAGGCTGAGGCAGGAGAATCGCTTGAACCTGGGAGGCAGAGGTATGGTGAGCCGAGATTGCACCATTGCACTCCAGCCTGGGCAACAAGAGCAAAATTCTATCTCAAAAACCAAAAAACCTCTCTCCAATCCCAGGCTGGGCGCAGTGGCTCATGTCTGTAATCCTGGCATTTTGGGAGGCTGTGGCAGGAGGATCCTGCTGGCTCAAGTGATCCCTTGAGCCCGGGAGGTTGAAGCTGCAGTGAGCCGAGATTATGCCACTGCACTCAAGCCTGGGCAGTAGAGCAAGACTCTGTCTAAAAAAGAAAAACAAAACAAAACTCCCCAATCCCAATCCACAGTCACTGACTTGGTCCACATTTAAAGCATACTAGGAACTAGGAGGAAACTTAGATAAATAAGCCACTGCCCTGAACTTCAAGGAATAGAAGAGAAAAGATAAGCAATCCTCACTCTCTCAACCCCTCAGTCCCTGCAGGGCCTCAGACCTGCTCTTTCCACTGCATCCCACCCTCCTTTCTACTCCATCCATTCACTCCTCCTCCAGGCTTCCCTGGAAACACCCAGGGCACAGGCTCGCACCCTCGGTTAGAAGGCCGCGGCCATCACTTGTGCTTCCGGCTCTGCATCCAGCCTAGGCCTTGGGGCACCTCCCTCCTAAGCCTGCCAGACCTAGGCTGCTCCCAGGACATCCACCATACACTAACCATTTGGTTTCCAGGCCTGGGACTCAGGCAGGGAACATGCCCGAAGCTGGGAATGTCCAGTTCCAGCCCTAGCCCTGGACTCAAAGAGTTTAGGCAAAAAGGCTATACCCCTGCCCCAGGAGTCCTTCCCACTGCCCCTGCATGAGTGCTACCTGCCCACAGCACACACGTGGTCCAGGACCCCCTTCCCCAACCCCCAGCTGCTTTCATGCACCTGCAGGAATTCTCCCCACATGGTCCCTGTTACCCTCCTACTGTCTCCAGCCCTGGTGACGCCTCTGCCACCTGTTCACAGGCTGTCCAGTGACAAACCACAGGCTCTCACAGACGCCTGCCAAAGCTGGGCAGAAAGTGTCTGTCCCCAGCCCGCCTGGACACCAGCCAGGCGGGGCAGGGTCTACAGAGGTCAAAGTCCAGCTTTGGATTGGCCGCTGTGCTTCCTTCTTGGTAAAAGAAATCAAACCTGCACCTGGAAGGGACAGCCCCTCCCTCCTCTTTCCCAGACTAAAAGCCCAGGGGTGGGACTTGGGAGGGTGGCCAAGCCCCAACAGCTCCTTTACAACATACTCACACCCTTCTGTCCCTTCCAGAAAGACTTCTAAAGCCACCACACTGGGTTTTCTAGGACAAGAAATTCACAGCCGGGATCAGCAGTTTCTATAGAGACCCCAGGATGAGTCTGGCCAGGACCCAGACAGCCAGCAGTCTCAGGGAACCTAGCCAGAGACCGAAAGAGACAGAGAGACACAAAGGCCACACGTGGGAGAGACAGCAAGTTGCAGGGCAGACAGGGGAACAAGCCAGTCCCACAGCAAGCCCAGAGACAGGGCGGAGAGGCGGCGGCCCCCAGGATCTGAGAAGGGAGAGGGGTTCCCACCCCACTCATGGTGGCCTCGGTCAGCCCTCCCTGCATGGGTTCCCCTTTCGAAATTACGCAGAAGGCTGCTGGCTACTCCACTGTTTGGTCGTTTCCATAGTAACCCTATCCCTGGCAAGATGCCCAAATATTATTACAACCATCCAGAGGAGAGAATAATCCAAGTAGCTGTCTCTCTGAGCGTGTGTAATATCCATCGTGTGTACGTGCCGCCTGGGCCTCCAAAAGTACTTCCTGTGACTGCCTGTCCGTCACGTGTGTGTCCAGATGCATCTATGTGTGTGTGCACGCACTGCCACCAACAAACACGCTGGGCTCTGATAACGCCTGGGGTCCCTATTGCTGGGTAAATCGCATGCCCTCATTTCTCCCACTCACCGTCTTATACACGTGCACAGTATACACACACACACACACACACACACACATACACACACATAAACACGTAGGCTCTGCACACTTCACACTGCCCTGAGCCACTTCATTCATACACCCGCTGTGTTTTCAAAACAGACACTTGCTCTGTTGCCCAGGTTGGAGGGCAGTGATGTGATCTAAGCTCACTGCAGCCTCCAGCTCCCAGGTTCCAGTGATTCTTGTGCCTCAACCTCCTGAGTAGCTGGGATTACAAGCACCTGCCACCACACCTGGCTAATTTTTGTATTATTTTTTTTAAAGTAGAAATGGGGTTTTGCCATGTCAGCCAGGCTGATCTTGAACTCCTGGCCTCAAATGATCTGCCTGCCTTGGCCTCCTAAAGTGTTGGGATTATAGGCGTGAGCCACCACACCCAGCCGACATTTGCTCTTAAGGACCCCACAGCCAGGAGCCCCACACTGCAAATGGCTGTGCCCCTTACCCAATCACTTCTCTGCACATTTCTGATAATTCAGCCCGAGCCTATCCCTCAGGCTCTGACCAGACACAAGGCCCAAGGTGGTGCTGATTGACTGAAACGCTGTTCCTTCTCCAGTTCCCCTTGCCAGCCAGGCTTGGTGGCTCACCCCTGTAATATCCGCACTTTGGGAGGCCAAGGCGGGTGGATCACAAGGTCAGGAGTTTGAGACCAGCTTGATCAACATGGTGAAACCTCGTCTCTACTACAAATAAAAAATTAGCCGTGCATGGTGGTGGGCACCTTTAATCCCAACTACTCAGGAGGCTGAGGCAGGAGAATCTCTTGAACCTGGGAGGCAGAGGTTGCAGTGAGCTGAGATCACCCCACTGCACTTCAGCCTGGGCGACAGAGCAAGACTTTGTCTTGGAAAAAAAAAAAAGAAAGAAAGAAAAAGAAGCCCCTTGTCTCACTCCCTGCTCCCTGCCACCCGGTCCCCACAGGTTCTGACTGTCACCTCCGGGGCTGAGGGTGGGGAGAAGCACTGATTGGCTCCTCACCTGATTGCCATGGTTACCTGCAGGGCCCTGCCAGCAGGTGCCAAGAGCAATGTAAACTCCCTAGAGCACCCTCTCCCCGGCTCCCCATCCCAGGAGGCCCCAGGCCCTGCATTCCTGACACCCAGTTCCTCCCCCCGGAACTGGCTGGGGTGCTGTGGGAAGGCAAGGGAAAAGGGGTGATGGTAGCTGGAAAGCCAGTTGTCATTACTTTGAAGAGGCTAGGAGATGAGAAGAACTTGAGGGAGAAAGAGCGAGAGACACAGATCCCAAGAAACAGAAAGGAGAGGCTAAGCGCCATTGGAAATGGCCTTTGCAGAGCTCAGGGGCCAGTCCCAGCTGTGCCCCCCGGTGACTCGAGCGCCGTCTCCACCTCTAACACCACTCTCCCTGCCACTGTCGTTGCAAGGGCATGTGTGAGCCTTAGGTGGCCCACATTCTGGGCCCTGGGGCCCCGGGTCTGGCTATAGCTACTCTAGCAGGAAGGGAACTTGCCCGGCACTCAGCATCCAACCCCGAACCCTCCTTGCCATTCAAGCCTAGCACTTGTCTTTCCCAATCCTTAAAGACCCCCGCTAAGAAATCAACCCCCCTACATCTATTTTGGAGTCTCGCTCTGTCTCCTAGGCTGGAGTGAAGTGGCGTGATCTCTGCTCACTGCAACCTCCGCCTCCTGGATTCAAGCCATTCTCCTGCCTCAACCTCCTGAATAGCTGGGACTACAGGCATATGCCACCACACCCAGTTAACTTTCGTATTTTTAGTAGAGACAGGGTTTCACCATGTTGGCTAGGCTGGTTTCGAACTCCTGGCCTCAAGTGATCCGCCCATCTCGGCCTCCCAAAGTGCTGGGATTGCAGGCATGAGTGAGTCACTGCACTCGGCCCCATCTCTCTATTTTAACCAGTGTCTTTCTGGAAGCCACCGTGCAATTTAGGCCTCTCTGACTTCTTCATGGTCCCCTATGGAAACAGTGGGTCTCCCAGACCCCAGGCCCCTGTGTCCCCTGATGCCACAGCCCTCTCTGCTCTGCCTGCCTCCAAATGAAATCAGCCCCGCTCCCTCACTACAAAGTCTCCAGGTCTTGGGGAAAGTCACTCAAGGTCACATCCAGATGTCTAGAACTGCAGAGGTGAAAGAGATCTTAGAAAGCATCTTGTCACCCAATGCCATGGCTTATGCCTGTAATCCCAGCAGTTTGGGAGGCAGAGGCAAGGGGATCATGAGGTCAGGAGATCGAGACCACCCTGGACAACATGGTGAAACCCAATCTCTACTAAATATACAAAAAACTAGCTGGGCGTGGTGGCACGTGCCTGTAGTCCCAGCTACTTGGGAGGCTGAGGCAGGAGCATCCGTTGAACCAGGGAGGCGGAGGTTACAGTGAGCTGAGATCGCACGACTGCACTCCAGCCTGGGCAGCAGAGCAAGACTCCATCTCAAAAAGAAAAGATGAGCACACTCAGAGAGAAGTGACTTGTCTAAGGTCACACAGCAAAGCAGTGGCAGTCCTGCGACAAGAAACTGCCTGACTCCCACCTCAGTGCTTTTAACACCCTGGCACCCGGCCAGGCTCCTCACTCATCTAAAGCAAGAATGCCTGGCTCCATCCCAGCAGGTGGGACGGCAGCTCCCTGGAGTGGCGGGAAAACCACTCAGTGGGCCACCGTCTGGGAGGGAATCAGTCCAGCCAAACATGACCATCAGCATGGCCTCCTGCCTTGACGAAGGAGGAGGAGGCAGTGTTAATCGCCTTACCCCTTTCCACGGTACACAGGGAAACAGGCTCCGGGAAGCACAGCATCAAGACTCAGACCCTGGGTTCTCTAACCCAGCTTCGTGGGTCCAACTGTGCAATCCTCTTGTATTTGTGTTTGGGGCCATGAGGGTCTGCCTAGGCACACTGTGAACCTCCCAACTTTCCTCGGTGCTTGACAATGGCACAAAGATCTACTCCCCTGTCCTTACCATGCATTGAAAAGGGCCTTTAGCCTCCTGAAGCTGGGCTTACTCAGCCCTCCCTTCCTCTCCCACCTCTCAGCTCCCTAAGATCAAACAAAGGCAAACCCCAAAATTTACAATTGCCACATACACACACATACAGCCAGACACACCCCCCGCCACCTCTCACTCACCACACAAGGCCAGATAGACACAACAGGACACCACACACACACAATCACAGCCAGACCAGAGCCAGGCCAACCTTGCCAGATGCAGAAGCCGCCCCCATCCACCCCGCACCTAGAAGCACACGGCCTGACATCCCTGCCTAGAACCACATCTGCAAACACACACTAACCTTTTGTACGCCCGTGGTCCACCCAGGGTAAATGATAACATAAGTCTTCCAGCAACAAAGGCAGTTCAGCTTCCAACATCCGCTCTAGGGACCAGAGGCTGAGGGCTGCAGTGGGCATCTGACCTGCACAAAGCTGTACCTTCTTCCAATCCAGGCTCTCCATTCCCATGGCAACAGCTCCATCAACCAACATCTCCCAGGCAAGGCCAGGGACAGCAGAGAGTACCCCTTCCTGCCCAACCCCCAAGACTTCAACTTGAACCCTACCCAGCTACACAAGGCCTGGATCCTGGGGTCGGTTTCCTGTTCATTCCAAAGCCAGTTCTAAAGCCTCAATCCCCCACCCCACAACCAAGGGAGCCCCTGGGAACACCTTCCCACCAAAAAGCTGCAACAGAGCTGGCTTTATGCTCCAAGTAATAACATCTTGGACCAGAGTGGTGGGGGTGGGGAAAAATTAAAGAGTTTCAGGAACAGAAACTGCCAGAGGTCCCAGAGGAGGAGGAATCAGAAGAGAGTGGGGAGGGGACAACGAGGAGACCGCACTCTGGGGAGACTGAGGCAGCATGGGAGACACTGAGGGACAAAGACTTCGGGGAAGCGCTGGGTAACACTTCCACAATATTCACTGGTAAATTCACCCGCCTCTGGGCCGCCTCCTCCCACCTCAAGCCAACGGGAGCGAATACGGGCAGACAGGGGCAGTGGGGGAGGGCGAGGGGCATGGCCGGGACCACCGTGGAAACAGGACAGGCAGGGGGAGTCTGACTGCCCGGGGGTCCCATGCCCTCAGAGCTAGCAGCAGGAGGGTGTGCGGAGGGTGGGGTGGCCGGGCGCCCAAAGGGAAAGGGGGCCAGTTCATCGGACCCTCTTGCCTCCACTGGCCATGGGAAATACTGCGATAGATTTCCCTCTACCCCCATTCTACCCCCTCAGCCGGAGCTTCCCAGGTCCAAGGGTCAGGGATCCCAGTTACCGGGTGGCCGCTTCCACCTTCCCTAGAGCCAAACTTTCGGCGGGGCCCCGGGAGGGGTGTTCCGGAGGGAGGCTCTGCTGAGGTGGTTCAGGGAGGGGGCGGGGCGCCGGCGCCGGGACGGGGAGCGGGGACCGGCTGGGGGAGGTGCCCGAGAGGACCCGGACCCCGGCGGCGAAGGGCGCCCTCCCCCGGCCTCGCGGCCGCCTCAAAGCACGACCCCTGCTGCCGGCTCCAAGTCCCCGCGCGTCCGCGGCGCCCCAGCGCCCACGGGGGAGCGCCCCCTGCCCAGACAGAAGGGGGCAGATCGAGCAGAGCCGGGGCGGCTTTGGCTCGTGAGGAGCGGCGACCCAACCCAGCGCGCACCCCGCAAGCCCTCCGGCTGCTCGGGACCTTCCCCCTCGCTACCTCGGAACAGGGTCTGCCCAGGGGCTGCTGCACAAAGAGGTGGTGGTCGAGGGAGACGCCAAATCGTTAAGAGGGGGAACCCGTTTCGGCCATCTTGGAAGAGAGGAAAGGGAAAAAGGGACAGAAAAAAGGGAGAAAGGCGGACGGGGCGAGCTGGACGGGGGGCTGGCGGGGCGCGGGGGGCGCGAGGGCAGGATCCGCTCCGAGCCTCCCCCTCCCACCGGGGCTTGCAGAGAAGGGTCGGCCCCCATCCCAATCCCCAGAGGGTTACTGGGCAGGAGAGGGAAAGGAAGGGGGAGTCGCTCCGCTTACCTGGGTTCGGGGTCCGGTGGGTCTCGGGGAGGGGGGGATGGGAGGGAGGGAGGGAAGGGAGGGGAGGGGGGCCGCAGCCGTGTCGCTCGCCTGGGCGGCGGGCGGGGAGAAACCTACGGTAAGAAAGGAGTTTGTGAAAGCGGCTTGGGGTGGGAGGGAGAGAGGGGAGGGGAGGGGACCGAGGGGGGAGGGGAGGGACCGGAGTTGGGGGGGGAGACAAAATGGCTTTTTTCCTTCAGACAAGAGTAGGTCCCGCCCACTACTCACCCACGTGACCTCATTCCTTCAGGATGCCGGCGGAGAGGGGAAGAGGAGGGGAGGCTGGCACTGCCGCTCCCCGCCATCGGGCGTCGTGTCCCCAGCCTGGACGAGACCCCTCCCTTCCCACGCGGCCGCCCCGACCCCGGTGGATGGGTTCTCTTCTGTTACCTTCCGCACTGAGCCCCTCCCCTCAAAATATGCGTTCCCCTCACTGACCCTGTGATGCCCACCCCTAGCCGGGGCTCCTGGAAAATGGTGAAATGGGGACTGGGCTGAAAGGTGGCCCGCGGGCCTCCACGCCCGGCCTAGACCAAAGGGCTCGGGGCTCCCGCGGGGGACGCAACGCCTTCAGCCACGCGTCCGGGCGATTTTCATTCGCTCCAAGTGACACTGCCTTAAAATTAACTGCATCCGGGAGGGCAAGCGTGTCCTCCCCGCTCCCCTTGCCCCCTCGGCCGCAGGGGCGCTGACCCTGAAAAGCGGCGCACAGGGACCCAGCCTGGGCCCCTGGCAGGGAGAAATCGCGAGAGGGGAGAGGAGGTGCGGGGTGAGGCCGGGGTGGGGGGTGCCTCGCCGCGGGGGGCTGTGGAGGCGGCTGCGCCTAGGCGTGCTCGGGCGGAGAAGAAAGGAGACTCGCTGAGGACGGGAACTCAGGCTCCGGGCCTGGGACACAATAACCCGGCCGACGGCGAGGCCACACTGATCTAGGAAACAAGGCGCCAGGCTGGAAGGTGGGCCCGCGTCTTTTCTCCGGCCTGGCGCGGATTTCGTATTTTTCGCTCGCGCCCTGCGCTGCGCGCTGCCTGTGCGCCTCCCTCGGCGCGCGGGCGGGAGAGTCGGGCGAGCGCCAAGACGGCGGGGCCCGCTGACTCCCACCGGCGCCCCGGCTCCACCCGGCGCTCGGGCTCCGGTCCCCAGTGGCTCCGACCGGAGGAAGAGAACGAGGAGGGAGGTTTGGAAATGCCTGGAGGAGCCGTGAGGCCGGCGCCGGGGAAGCGAATCGATACCGCATTACTGGACGCCCGGGGGCCTCATGAGGACGGTCGAATCGCTCATTCGTTATTCACGATTTATTAGGGATAGCGGCCGCGTCTGTCCCTCCAGAAAGCTCAGTTATCCATCCGGCCAGCAGCGCCATGAAACGCGCTGACGGTGGGAGGCTCGAGTTAGAAATTAGGAAAGGAATCTTCGCCCGGTTTTGGAGCGCCTGTCTCCTCTTCTCTCGTTGCTCGCAGCCAAGGCAGTCCCGGAGCTGGGGGCCCCGGGTGAATGTTTTCACCCTCTGGCCGGCGACCAGGAGACCTGCGCACATTAGCCGCCAAGTGACCCTAGCTTGAGCCTGCAGCCACACCGGCGGGATGGGGGCGGGGAGGAAGAGGAAGGGCGGAGAGATTTCCTTCTAGAGGGAGTGGTTGGAGAACCCGCGGGAGAAGGGCCAAGGGAAGATCCGGTCACCTGCTCCCGAGTCTGCACCCGGAAGGGCGAGTTCACCGGCCCCAGAGGAAAGGGGACACGCCCACTGTTCCCAGGGCAAATGTGTCGCCGGCATCCTGGACTCTGCCAGGGAAGACGCACATCCACTACGCTTTGCCGGGAGGGGAGCGCGGCAGGGACTCCCGGTCGGCCGCCCCTCTCTGGCTGCAAGACCCCGAGCAAGAGAAACCTGTAGGGGCTTTGCGGAGACCTGAATCCCACCCACCAACCACACGGGCACCTACGGGCTGCCCCTCGGGGCAGTATCAGCCAGTGGGAAGGGGGCTGCCTGAGGGGCCGCCGGAGTCCATCCATTTATTCCTCGGTTGTTAAGCGCTAGAAAGGGGTATGCTAAGACCCCATTACCCACTAAAACTCCGGTTTCATCTTTTGCGTCCTGGATGACCAGTCCCCACATTCCTGGCCTTTCTGGTTTCTCAGGAGAACCTTCTGACTCAACTCTTCCCACATCGGAAGACTTTCCTAGTCTTTGTTCTATACTGGCCGACATAGGAGCACCTGTCACGTGCCAATGTCAAATACTGCGCTAGGCACTGGGCATTCAAGGCACAGGAGCCTGGCTTTTGCGCGGGGCGCTCACAGGCCGGTGGGTGTAAACCCTGAGGGACACACAGCCTGTCCCTTTAGCAACCACCACTTCTGTTGTGAGCTCCCGCTAAGGGTAGGTGAGTACTGGGGAGCGCTTCCAGAAGAGGCCTCCTTTGAGCCGAATCTGCAGAGACCAAGTGTCTACGAGAACTGCTTAAGAGTGCTTTGCACATTCTCATCCACAAAGGTCGAGGCTCTCACTGCGCCCAGGAACACGTCTTGGCAGACATTAGGTACCCCTTGATTTTGTGTTTGCATCTCACCCGGTCCTCTAGCTGACAATGGCATCAGAAGAGTCAGTGTCTGTCACAGGCTAGAGGCTCGCAGAGGATAGGAACGCGGGAAATCTAGGCAATTACTTCCAGCACATACGAAGAGCTATTGCAAGGATCAGATCCCTTTAAAAACCGTGACGGTGACAAGGCGGGAGAGGGCGGCTCCTCTCGTGCTTTCAGGAACGTCTTTACCTCTGTGTTCTTTACACCTTTTATCTCCCCCAAACAAGGTCCTTGGTCTGTTTCTGCTTCTATTTCTCCATTCTCCTCCCCACCTCTCTGTGTATTTCCAGGGGAAAAAATTGTGTTGCTTTACTGATGCTTCTCGTATTAAATGCGTCTCTTTCCCTCTCTTCATTGTCTTGTCTTCCCCATTCACTCTGCTTAGTTCTCTTGTCATGTCCCTTCTTTCTCTATCACAACTGTGTTCTCCCTTTCTCACCTTTGTTTCTCTTAATACCTGTTTCTCTCCCAATCTCTTCCAAATGTAGTATTTAGAGACTGTAACATCGATTGAGCCACACAATAGAAAACTGTCCAACCTCCACTGTAAATTCATTCTTAATCCCACGAAAAATGCTTCCTGAAACGTGTTGCATGCACAGTGAGACAAAAACCTCTGTAGGCGGGGTCGGGGGTGTGGAAGGACGTGCTGGATAAATTATCCCATTACTGACTGAGCAGCAGTGAATTTTCAAGAAGAGTGATTCTCTTAGAAAAAGTATTGCCGCTGCCATTTAAATGCAAAATTTAGATTTTGAGTAACAGACTTAGGTTTTTATCTTCCGGGAAAAAAAAAAAAAAAAAAAAAAAAGACAAAAAGAGTTGCAGCGTCCCTGGGTGGGCTCGAACCACCAACCTTTCGGTTAACAGCCGAACGCGCTAACCGATTGCGCCACAGAGACCGCGACGACTACTAGCGTAGCGGAGAGCCGAGTCAATGGGAGCGAGCCTGGACGGCGCAGACGCCGTAAGAGATTCCGCCATCGGGCGAAAGAAGCGGGACCCAGCGGAGAAAGGTAAGGATCCTGATGGGAGAGGGGGGCGACGGGGCTTGGGAAGAGAGGACGCGGGACGTGGACGCTCTTCCTCCACTGGCTCGGCGAGACGTCGACTCTGGCTATCCTCAGGTTCTACCTCAAACGTGGAGAGGCCCGGAACGTCCCTTTTTAGGGTGACCTGAGACTGAGGTTACGTGAAGTCAGACCGCAGGAGGTCCCCCAAATCAGAACAATCTTTGGCTTCCAAACTCTCCTTTAGAGCTGAACCCCTGCAACCGCAGAATACTCGCGACGCCTATCCGCGACGCCTTCCCCTTCCCACCTTGCATCATTAAATTTCCATTTAATGGGCGCCTCCTACATACCAAGCACTGTTCTGGGCCAGTGAATATTTAGAGCCTAACCAAGTGCCTGATACACAGTAAGCGTAAGGATTTCTGAAGTGAATAAATAAGCTAGCACAGCTAATACGAACAACTCAAACATCACGTTGATAAGCGTCACGATGTCGCTTCTGCTGAGGCCGAAGCCCCCTACACCCAGTTTCACCGGCCCACGTGTGTGCAGGCTCCGCCTCCAGTCCCGGCGGTCTGGAGTCCGGGTCCGCCGAGATCCCACTATGCACCGTGTCACAAGGCTCTTCCGCACCCACGGTGACTTTTCACTTCCGCTTTTCCCGCCTCCGTTTTGGCTTTGCAACCAAACTACCTGCACTGGTGACCGACAGCGACGTACGGCCAATAGAAAGCCCAGATGGCCAGGAAGAGTCCGCCCGTCAGCCAATGGAAAGGCGGCAGCGAGAGCGGTTGTGCAGTGAAGGCTAGACCCGGTTTACTGGAATTGCTCCGGCGATCGAGGGGTCTTAGTACACCGCAATCATGGTGAGATGGGGAGTGAAGCAAAGGGGCACGGGGAAGGATTGAGAAGCGGAGGGAGTCGGGAGAGGTTTGGAGACGAAAAGGGCCTAGGGTCAATGGAAGGAAGCGGTTTCAGTTCGAGGGGAGCAGACCCCGATGAGGACCAAGAGGGTGAGCGCGGCTCCTCGCCGTCACGTAGTGCTCATCCCACCTGGAGAACCAGGGGTCCAGGCTCCGGAATGGAGAACGGGGCGTACGGGAGCCTCCGCATCAGGGGCTGGGCTGTGGCAGCGTTTGACCCCCCGCCGTTCTGTTTGTCCTAGTCTATTATGTCCTATAATGGAGGGGCCGTCATGGCCATGAAGGGGAAGAATTGTGTGGCCATCGCTGCAGACAGGCGCTTCGGGATCCAGGCCCAGATGGTGACCACAGACTTCCAGAAGATCTTTCCCATGGGTGACCGGCTGTACATCGGCCTGGCCGGGCTCGCCACTGACGTCCAGACAGTGTAAGTGTCAAGGGTCCCCGCCCACACCCAGGCCTCTTCTTGGACCATCCGCCCCCGTCGTCTCCACCGGCCTGGTGAGTCTGAGTCTTGGCCGCACACTATAGCGATACAGAGATGTATCCTAACCAACTTTTACCAGCATTTACACTGTGCCATGCTCTGTGGAAAGCACCTTACATACATGGACTATCTTAATCTTCTTCCTGAGGATTCTGTGTGGCCATCCCATTTTGCAGATGAGGAAACTGAGGGTCTCAGAAAGTGTCTTGCTCAAGATGCAAAGTCAATGAGTGTCAGCCAAGATTCCCACCCAAGTCTCTCCAAGGCCAAAGTCAGCGCTCAGTCCCTAAAGAACTTCAGCAGTCACACAGATAACCAGCCTATGATGAGTTGGTGCTTATTAAGTGCCATATTAGTTATCTAGTCGCCATTGGTTATGTGATTCGAGAGAAGGGAGAGTTAGGGAGATGAAACTACAGTGATGGTTCGGATGTGAGGGTCATGGTCCTCATGGAGTAGTAGTGATGAGAAAAGAAAGGAAGAGTCGGGCGCGGTGGCTCACGCCTGTAATCCCAGCACTCTAGAATGCTGACATGGGTGGATCACCTGATGTTAGGAATTCAAGAACAGCCTGGCCAACATGGCAAAACCCCACCTATACTAAAAATGTAAAAATTATCCAGGCATGGTGGCATGTTCCTGTAATCCCAGCTACTTGGGAGGCTGAGGCACGAGAATCCCCTTGAACCTGGGAGGCAGCGTTTGCAGTGAGCCAAGATCGAGCCACTGCACTCCAGCCTGGGCAACAGAGTGAGAGTCTGTCTCAAAAAAAAAAAAAGTCCCCTTCTTTCTCTCTCTTTCTCTTTCTCTCTTTCTTTTTCTTCTTTCTTCTTTTCTTTTCTTTTTTTGAGATGGAGTTTGTTGCCCAGGCTGGAGTGCAAATTTTGCATTAAGGGGAGAAGAGAAGCCAGAGAAGAGAAGAATAAGAGAGGAAAAGAATGGTGATGGGTTTTCAGGAGGGAATACATGGTCACGGGCAGGTGCTGCAGGGTACTTGTGGCCTGAGGAGCGACAGTTCCTGGACACATTTCCTAGAAGGTGGAGAGACTAGCTCACAAGTGTGGGTGGATACTGGTCAGAAAATGTTCTCATTTCAACTAGGTGTGGTGGCTCATGCCTGTAATCCCAGCACTTTGGGAGGCCAAGGCAGGCAGATCTCTTGAGGTGAGGAGTTTGAGATCAGCCTGGCCAACATGGTGAAACCCATCTCTACTAAAAATACAAAAATTAGGCCGGGTGCAGTACCCCATGCCTGTAATCCTAGCACTTTGGGAGGCCGAGGTGGGTGGATCACCTGAGGTCAGGAGTTCAAGACCAGCCTGGCCATCAGAGTGAAACCCCATCTTTTAAAAAAAAAAATACAAAAATTAGCCAGCCATGGTGGTACATGCCTGTAATCCCAGCTGCTCAGCAGTCTGAGGCTGGAGAATCGCTTGAACCTGAGAGATGGAGGTTGCAGTGAGCCAAGATCACATCACTGCACTCTAGCCTAGGAAACAGAGTGACACTCCGTCTCAAAAAAAAAAAAAAAAAAAAGTTCTCATTTCTCAAAGCTTCCTGAGTCTCAAGAACATAAAACTTACTGAGACCTTGCCCAGCCTGCCCGTTTTTCCTATCCTGGTGGAATCAGAGGTTCCTGTCCGTGTGAAGCCTCCTGTAACCCTTCCCCTCTCCAGTCCCTGTTGTTCTCACACCGTTTCCTTTTCTGCAGAAGGCTTTTCTCACTGCGTTTGCTTGCTTGTGGGCAATAACTGCTCCTTTCACTAGGCCTCGGTTTACTTACCTTAGAAGATGAAGCTCAAGTCTTTTTTTTTTTTTTTTTTTTTTCCAGATGGAGTCTAGCTCTGTCACCCAGGCTGGAGTGCAGTGGCACGATTGTGGCTCATTGCAAACCTCTGCCTCCCGGGTTCAAGCTATTCTCCTGCTTCAGCCTCCCAAGTAGCTGGGATTACAGGCGCCTGCCACCACACCCAACTAATTTTTGTATTTTTAGTAGAGATGGGGACTTCACTGTGTTGGCCAGGTTGGTCTCAAAGTCCTGACCTAGTGATACACCCGCCTTGGCCTCCCAAAGTGCTGGGATTACAGGCATGAGCCACTGTACCTGGCCAGCTCAAGTCATGTATAAGGCTCTTTGCTCTGGTGTCCTGAGACTCCTTGCTTTGCCTCCAGCAGGTGTGGCATTGGTCTGCTTTGTGCAGGGGCCTATCCTGGGGCTCTGAGATGGCACTGGCAAGTTGTGGCCTTTTTTTCTTTTTTTCACCAGAGCTGTCAAGTGGCCTGTTTTCTTTTTCTTTTTCTTTTTTTTCTTTTTTTTTTTTTTTTTTTTTTGAGACGGAGTTTCGCTCTTGTTACCCAGGCTGGAGTGCAATGGCGCGATCTCGGCTCACCGCAACCTCCGCCTCCTGGGCTCAGGCAATTCTCCTGCCTCAGCCTCCTGAGTAGCTGGGATTACAGGCACGCGCCACCACGCCCAGCTAGTTTTTTGTATTTTTAGTAGAGACGGGGTTTCACCATGTTGACCAGGATGGTTTCGATCTCTCGACCTCGTGATTCACCCTCCTCGGCCTCCCAAAGTGCTGGGATTACAGGCTTGAGCCACCGCGCCCGGCCTTTTTTCTTTTTTTTTTAAGACGGAGTATCATTCTGTCATCCAGGTGGAGTGCAATGGCGCGATCTCAGCTCACTTCAACCTCCACCTCCCAGGTTCAAGCAATTCTCCTGCCTCAGCCTCTGGAGTCGCTGGGATTACAGGTGCGCGCCACCATGCCTGGCTAAATTGTATTTTTAGTAGAGATGGGGTTTCGTCATGTTGATCAGGCTGGTCTCAAACACCTGACCTCATGATTTGCCCACCTTGGCCTCCCAAAGTGCTGGGATTACAGGTGTGAGTCACCACACCTGGCTATAAGTGGCCTTTTTTCTAAAAAATCTTTCAAGTCTGTTAGCACATAGCATAGCAGTTGCTGCTGCCTTTTTTTTTTTTTTTTTTTTTTTTTTTTTTTTTTTGAGACGGAGTTTCGCTCTTGTTACGCAGGCTGGAGTGCAATGGCACGATCTCGGCTCACCGCAACCTCCGCCTCCTGGGTTCAAGCAATTCTCCTGCCTCAGCCTCCTGAGTAGCTGGGATTACAGGCACGCACCATGCCCAGCTAATGTTTTGTATTTTTAGTAGAGACGGGGTTTCACCATGTTGACCAGGATGGTCTCGATCTCTCGACCTCATGATCCACCCGCCTCAGCCTCCCAAAGTGCTGGGATTACAGGCTTGAGCCACCGCGCCCGGCGCCTTTTTTTTTTTTTTTAAAAGATGGGGTTTTACCATGATGGCCAGGCTGGTCTTGAACTCCTTACCTCAGGTGATCCACCCACCTGGACCTCCCAAAGTGCTAGGATTACAGGCTTGAGCCACCACGCCCGGCTGCTTTTTTTTTTTTTTTAAGTTACCCGGGCTGGTGACATAATCTTAACTCACTGCAACCTCCCCATCTAGGGCTCAAGTGATCCTCCCACCTCAACCTTTCAAGTAGTTGAGACTACAGGTGTGGGCCACCATGCCCAGTTAATTTTTGTTTTTTTGTTTTTCCATTTTTGAGATGGAGTCTCACTCTGTCACCCAGGCTGGAGTGCAGTGATACGATCTCCATTCACTGCAACGTCCACCTCCTAGGTTCAAGCAATTCTCCTGCCTCAGCCTCTTGAGTGGCTGGGATTACAGGCGCCCACCACCACGCCTGGCTAATTTTTGTATTTTTAGTAGAGATGGGGTTTCACCATGATGGCCAGGCTGGTCTCAAACTCCTCACTTCAGGTGATCCACCTGCCTCAGCCTCCCAAAGTGCTGGGATTAGAGGTGTGAGCCACCACTCCCGGCCATTTTTCTATCTTTTTTTGTAAGAAACAAGGTTTCTCTGTGTTGCTCAGGCTCAGCTTGAACTCCTGAGTGCAACGATCCTCCTGCCTCAGTCTCCCAAAGTGCTGGGATTACAGGTGTGATCCACCCCACTCAGCCAAAAAAATTTTTAATATGGAACACTTTACAAATTTGCGTGTCATCCTTATGCTAGTCTCCTCTGTATTATTCCAGTTTTAGTATGTGTGCTCCCAACGTGAGCACTGGTTGCTACTTCCTAACACATGTTAAGACTTTGCAGTTTTCCCTTGGCAGGG